ACACCACACAACACCACACACACCACACACACCACACACCAGCACACCACACACACCCCAACACACCACACACACCACACCACACACGCCACACACCACACCACACACACCACACACACCACACCACACCACACACACCACCACACCACACACGCCACACACACCACACCACACACACACACCACCACACACACCACACACACCACACACACCACACACACCACACACCACACAACCCACACACCACACACACCACCACACACACCACACACCCACACCAGCACACACACACACACACCACACCCACACACACACACCACACACACCACACCACACACCACACACACACCACACACACCGCACACACCACACCACACACACATCACTCACACACCACACAGACCACCCCACACACCACACACATCACTCACACACCACACCACACACCACACACATCACTCACACACCACACACACACCACACACACCATACACATCACTCACACACCACACACGCCACACACACCACACCACACACACCACACACATCACTCACACACCACACACACCACACACACCACACAGACCACAGCACACACAGCACACACACCACACCACACACACCACACACACACCACACCACACACACCACACACACCACACACACACCACACACAACACGCACACCACACCACACACACCACACCACACCACACACACCACACACACCACACACACAACACGAACACCACACCACACACACCACACACACATACCACACACACCACACACACCACACACACACCCCACACACACCCCACACACACACCACACACACACCACACACACACCACACGTGCTGCTGTCAAAACCCCCAAAGCTTTCAAACGTACTCTTTGGTTGTTTCGGTAAAGTCACGTAGGTATAAAATAAAAACGAAATCACGACGTTTCGGGCGCGACACAAGCGTCCGTCATCAGGTGGGAAAGCATGGTCTGCTGCTGAGGCAGACTGTTTAAAAAGGTTTGAAATGGGTGTAGCCCAAGGGTCATAAAGAAGTGGCCGGGGCTAGTGATGTTAATATGAGAAATTAGCATGTAACTGTAAGATGGAAGGAGAGGTGTCACACGTGTGGCGGCTCTCACACTGACGATGTCTTATCGGAGAAAACGAGTGAACGTCACCCAGTGCGTGAACGTCACTGAGTAGTACTGATGCAATCAGCGCCTCACTGCTGGGGGGTGGTTGTGGTGGTGATGGAGGAGAAAACATTTCCCCAGACCTCACACAAAGCAGGGCCTCCACAATCTGCCCTCATTTGTCGCTTTGTCGCTGAATTAACAAAAGGCTGTGGGAGGCCACCACGCGTGTGGCATTTCTGCCCCCCCGCCCCCCCGGGGTCCCTAGGAAGTGTTACAGCTCAGCCCCTGGAATTGCGTACAGCGACACGGGGCCGCTGCGACCCGTACCGGCACAAAAACGTTTTAACTACCCATATTTGGACCATCTTATTTGACAGGTACTATTCTACTTTACCGAGTGTTGACATCCCCAGCGTTTAACAGTACTCTCCTTTTTGTATTTGGATTGTCAACCAACACGGGGTATAACGACAACTTGTACACCTATTCTTCTCTTTCAGCCCCGCACATCCCCCCCAACACGTTCCATTCATTGGCTACCACATTCAGATAAGCCCCTCCCCCCTCAACTTGTATTTAAGAACTTGTCTCTTGGAATATTGCCTCACTTGATACAGTAAATTTAGCTGTGGAGGTCCCACCTGATGACGGAGACGTGTGTTGCCTCCGAAACGTCGTGATTTTTAAATTTTATTTCTAATATTATTTCTCGAAGAAATCTTATTATTTATTTATTTTTATCTACGTGACTTTACCGAAAAAAACCTAACAGTATGAATCCTTGCAGTCACGAAAGCTTCAAATCTAGAACCGTACCGGCGGATTTGCGCGTTCGGCGGGGCTGCGTAAAACCTCGCGCGGAGACCTCTCGCCCGCCTCGAACCACTGCAACGAGGAGTGACGTGGACGCGAGAAGTGGCGACTGCATCTGACGGTGGCAGTCAATTTCAGATTTTACCACCGCCGTGCTCTGTGCAGCGTGGAGCGCTCCCCTGGGTGCAGAGAGAGCGAGAGAGAGAGAGAGGAGGAGCCCTTCATGATCGAGTTGAGTGTGGGGGGGGGGGCAGATCGGCAAGGACGAATCTCCGTGCTCTTCGTGCGCGGTGTGCGTGTGGTGTGCTCTCCACACACTATTGCAGGATATGCAAATCTGCGTTCTATATATAGACGCCAACATACATTGTGCGCCCGTGTGTGTGTGTGTGTAAATTTACATACACCAAGCTTGTGTTAAATGTGAAAGGTAGACCTTGTTTTAAAACATCTGACCTTGTGGGGGGGGGTGTAGTGGCGTGAAGGAGGGGGGCACGTGCCCCCCCAGGGACTGTGACCGCCCCCCCCCCGTGATAATGAGTAGAACGCCCCGTGGCAGGCGTCGCTTCGCCTGTTGATGGATGTGCAGTGGTGGCGGTGGTGGTGGTGTCAGTGATGAGGTTTGCCATATTTCAAGGGGGTCGGAGTGAGCTGCAGGTTGGCCAGGAGCTGTCGGAGGGGGTGAGCTGCTAATGACCGAAGCAAGATCGATACCAACATTCATGCGCATAAGTTATCGCGATAGAGATGCATGCAACCACAAGGACAGTTCAAAGTGTGCCTGTGCTGAAGTAAGCTTTAGGTGATGTGCATCTCTGCTGGTGGACCGGAGCAATGTTGGAACTTCGAGATGAGTATGGCCAGGCGACCAGCGAAGCACAGACAAAATGGTTATTCATTGTATTCAACCCCAGTGGGATTATGGGCTGAGTCAGACCACGACTGAGATTATATCGAGCACCTCGTATTCATCATTCGGGAACTTCGACCCACGCACCACCGAGTCAATAATCAGGGAGCTTCATCGCCATCACCTCCCCTGGGCGCCATGGGAAGTGTTGTGCATCCAGTGTGTTGCTGTACACTTCCACGGGATGAGCCACTTCGTTGCGCAGTCATTTGTGGCCAGGTCGCTTCTGAAAAATAAGCCATTATCCGTGATTGGCTTTACCTGGTAAAATAAAACATTGTTGAGTTATTGTAATAGATTTCTACCCTTTCAACTGGTACAAAAACGGACACCTTTAGTCAGTTGTTGTACCAGTTGAAAGGGTAAAAACCTATTACTATATTTTGCCACTGGTAAAGGAGGTCTCATATTGTTGAGTTATATTTGAATATTTTTTTGTGAGTGATCTGCTTACCTTCCCTATACTTTGCACTACGATCGTGTTTGTGTATTATTTGTCGTCGAAACGCTCTGACCCCGTGCCCTCTACTGGACATCTGTGAAGACGAAAACAAGAGCTTTACAGCTCATGGGATTCCTCCAGTATAAATCAAACTTCCGATTCTGGCTGGCGGTGCTTTGGTGCTTGCCCTCTCATGCCGACACCCGTGCCTTCGCCAGGCTGCATTTCACGGGGCCGACAGGCCAAGGGAAAACAGTGATCCATCACCGTGCTCCGACGGAGAGGCGCTCAGTAGCCACAACCTCCAAACAGGACAATTACAACGCCCCTCCTTTCTGCGTTTATTAATTAATTTATTCCGTGCTGCACGCGTTTAAGCACGTCACCGCAAATTTTTTGTTGTTGAAAATAATCCAAATGCGGCCTAAGTTCGCTCCGCAATTATATTTGTGGTTTACATATACAATATGGGGTCATAACATGACTTTATTTTGTTTCAGGCTGGCCATGGATATACAACACTCGGTTTGAGATTCGATTGCTGTGTGCAGATGACGGTCGTCGTATATTCAATGTTAATGTGCCCGTTTTATTGAGGGGCTGGCTACTGCTGATGTGTGGCGTTATCTTGGTGTGGTCTTGGGACTGTTTTGATGTTTTGTGCGGCCTTGCCCAAGCTTGACAAATTGAACTTATATAATCAATGTGTTTATTTATGTATAAGTATTTATATTTAGCGCCTTGCTTAGCCGTTTCCCTATTTTGACCTCCCTATCATATGTGTTTGTACTGTTTGGTGTTATAACTCGCTGACCCGACCTTACTAGACGTTTGTGAAAAAGAGCTTCAGGGCTCATTGGATTCCTCTAAGTAAAGATTCTAATTCTGAGTGGTGTGCTGGAGGACGATGCCAACGCTACTGTGAACGAAGTGACATGCGGCCCTTCGGCTGCATCCCGATATTTAAATAAAACATTACATCAAAGGTAACAACAACTCATTTTAAAAAAACTATTTGCTTGGAATATCCGTTGAAGCCAGCAGGTTCAAGCTGAGCACAATCGCTCTGGTGACATCACCGTCATTGAGTGATGAACTGAGGCTGCTGTTGTTGCCTTTGCTATCGATGGGCAGCGGTAACCATAGCAGGGTATCCACTGCACGACGGGCACCCGTCCGTATCGATTCCTGATATCGCTGATCAGTGGCACGCGGTATCCGACCCTGGCCTGCACCTTTCATTTAAAGCTCAAATACAATCTGCATGGACTTTACCACCCCATCGCGTGCCGTTCCGGCCTTCATAGCTGCTCGCTAACAGCACGTGTCGTCCCCAACAGTGTGTGCAGGCTACACGGGGGATCTTTGTCTTTGTGTCTTGTGTGCGTGCGCTACGAACTCAGCCACCCGAGTTCGATTCCCGCTCATGGCCAACACCGGTGACGATTATCTGAACGGGTCCTGGGCTTCCCACCAGGTCGATTCATACCTCAAATGAGCACCTGGTGCGGTGTGTAGTAAACATCGCCACGAGGGAGACAAAGGCGGCCGGGCCAGGCTACCGGCCACCCCCCCCCCCCCCACGTGTGCCACGGTGCCGGCCTTCATCGGTTGCCGCTCGCTAAGCAGCACTTGCCCCAACAGCCTGCTGAGGGCTATACAACGGGCCACCGACCCTTTGTCTTTGTGCGCAGGAGCTGCAGTTCGAGCGCCTGACGCGCGAGCTGGAGGCGGAGCACCACAGCGTCGCCTCGCAGCTGCAGCGCTGCCGCCTCGACTCGGAGGCCGGCAGCGCGAGCAGCGTCAGGTGAGGGGCGGCGACTACTACCCCCCCACCACCACAACTACCCCCCCCCACCACTACTACTACCTCCCCACCACTACTACTACTACCTCCCCACCACTACCCCCCACCACCACTACTACTACCCCCCCACCACTACCCCCCACCACCACTACCCCCCACCACCACTACCCCCCACCACTACTACTACCCCCCACCACCACTACCCCCTCACCACCACCACTACTACTACTACCCCCCCACCACCACCACTAGTACCCCCCCACCACTACCCACACCACCACCCCCCCCCACCAGTACCACTACCCCCCCACCACCACCAGTACCCCCCCACTACCACCACTACCCCCCCACCACTACTCCCCACCACTATCCCCCCCCACCACCACTACCCCCCCCACCACAACTACCCCCTCCACCACAACTACCCCCTCCACCACTACCCCCCACCACCACTACCCCCCCCCACCACTACTACCCCCCCACCACCACCACTGACCCCCCACCACCACTACCCCCCCACCACCACCACTACCCCCCCACCACCACCACTACCCCCTTCCCACCACCACTACCCCTCCCCCACCACCACCCACTCCCCACCACTACCCCCCACCACTACCCCCCACCACTACCCCCCACCACCAACACTACCCCTCCACACCACCACCACCCACTCCCCACCGTGCCGCGTAGCTCGTCCTCACCCTCTGTGCCACACGCCCTCCTGGGCGTTGTCCAAACACCCGCGACAACGATGTTTGTGTGCTACGGGGCTAAGAGACACCCACGACGACATTCGGCACACACACACGCACACGTGGCCAACACACAAGGTCACCCGTTAGCGATCACCTTGTTGTTCTTCCCCGCATCTCCGATTAGCACGGTCCGCTACGTACGGTGCGAAAGAAGTTCAACGTACGTACAAGACTGGCACGGCACACGAGGGGGTCGGTGGCCCTGCACCACGCCCGGCCGCCTTTGTCTCCCAAGTGGCGATGTTTACACACCGCCGCACCGGGTTCTCATTTGAGGCTGAGTTGACCTACGGGACGCCCCAGACCGGTTCACACAGCCATCTGACACACGCACACGAGTAGGACAAACCCCAGCTTTTCAAGTGTGCCAGCACCCCTGGTTTTCGGCAGCACCAAAGCCTTGTAAATCGTAACTTTAATTATCCAGGAAAGCCTCACTAGGAGTCCCAAAGACTCTTCACTGGAGCGTCATGCATTGGCACGTTTCCCCTGTTATTTCGTGTCTCCCCGTTACGAAAGACTGGGATACGTGGAGAAAAAGCTCAAACAAATATCTGTCCGTTCACCCAATCGCTCTCCTGTCATGCACGTGGTGGCTACCTCGCAGCCCTGCAGTTGGGGTGTGCTACGCGTACGATAATTCCACAATCTTGTGTTACTGCAATGTTGATCATATTTAAACGTATTGGAGGCTGTGAAATGCGCACGATGCATATCGTATGTTATTGGCGCAGGATGATAAAAAAAGACGCTTTATTTTGATCGAGAGCCGATAGCCAGGCTTTTCGTAAATTGCCGCAGTGTAGTTGATCATTACACAGCGCTTAACATCATGATGCTTTATTCTTAAACCATGTTCACGGCTGCCTCCCCTCCTTCCTCCCTTCCTTCTACAAACACTGCAACTTGCCAGATTTCTGTTGCGATGGAGGCTGTGGTAACTCGTGGTTTTTTTAATGCTCCGGCCTGTGTCCTGCAAGAACAGCAACGCCGTGCATGCGGCATGCGCCCTCATTACATCCATGGACAGACAGCGAGGGCAGTGCCACGGGGAACCCTGACCAGGATGTTCTGCCTTACAGGATAGCCTCAGCGAGTCTCAACTCGTTTGCCTTTGTTCTGTCAAGTTTTTGCTACGTGTTTCCCAAAAATGTGTAAAATTGTACTATTTCAAAATTTGTCAATTTTTTTTCGTGATGCCAGCACACAATGGCCTGCTCTTCTTTGAACAATATCAGGTGATCGTTGAAGTCCAGTGACGCAGACGGCACGTGTGTCACGGTTAATACGCCCGAAGGGATATGCAGGGCGGCCTTCTGGGCTAGAACCGCGAACCTCTGCAACGAGCAGCAAACTGCGCCGTGTCACTGGCCCACCCATGGTGGACTGTGAGCCTGGCTGCTGAGAGCGAGCAAAGTCAAAGGAGAACATCTCCTTTCGGCCGCAGAATTTATGGGGCGATAATAAGACAGAGGCAGCAGCCAGGGCCAGCTTCATTGGGTAAACATTTTGTGGCAGTAAATTAAGAGGGCAGAAACATAAAATATATGTTTTATTTTTTATTTAGCTGATAGATCAGAGAGATAACAACTGCTGGTTGTCCAGTAAATAAATGCAGATACAGTACTATACGTATAGATTTAATTATAAATCCAATTAATAGGTTTTCAAAGGGCACCACAATTGGTAATAGTTAGCGGGCCATAGCAAACATTTATACCACTTGAGGTATGAAAACTTTACTGGGACAGACTTCTTTATACGACCAATAAAAAGTGAGTTACAATTTGCCATTATTAAACAGCGTTATCACACCATTCACCGTATTCGAAAACGTTATCGCACGATTCACATTTATTGTCCGTGTCAATAAATCAGTACCACGAAAGTTCCCTCCTCCCACCACTGCGACTGGGACACAAGCAGCCCAGTGGCCCTCAATCCCTAGTCGCGAGCAAAGCTCCCGCGGCTGACGCCCTCCGCCTGAATGCCTGCCAGGCACGTGCACGCCCCACGCCACTTCGCTCCGTTGGCAGCACGTAAACCGGCTCTCGCTTTCTCTCGCTCTCTCTCTCTGCTCTCGCGGCAAACTCAGATGTACCGAGCTGGTGAATCATTCTGAGTGTGCTGCGAGATGGAGCCCTGCACTCGGTTTGGCGGCCGCGAGTTGATGTCGTGGCTGGCGCATGTTGGCACCGTGTGTTGTTTTGTTTTATTTATAGATAAACAAACCTCGGTAATGTCATGCAAAATGCCCTGCAGCAGGAAATGAATGTGTGTTTTTAATGAATGAGAATGGGTCAAAACAGCTGTGAACACGAAATCTTGCTATTTGCAGTTCCAATGAAGAGGCTTTCCACTGGCGGTCGACAGGTGAGCAGATTGCATTTGTTTTTATTTCTTGCAGTGTTTTATTGTTATCGCCTTGTGGTAGTTCAAGCCTCTTTCCACGGCTCACGTAACGGCGACTCGTGTCTGCGCACCACTGCATGGGGGGGCCTCAGCCGCGCCCGCGGGCCGCCCCTACGGTTCCCCGCGCGCCGCCTCGTTCGCCGAGGCGGGGGCCAGCGACAGGGGCTCGGGGGCATCCAGAGGCCCCGCCGTCACCCGCTCGCTGACCAGCGGCGTCGCCTGTCAAGACGCGGCCGATTTTCCGCTTGCGCGGTGCGGCTCCCGGGACTCCGGGACAGCGGGGGACCGGGGCGACGCTGCCACCGGCGGTGACGACGGAACGAGCGGCCGCTACGGCAACAACAACGGCGGCGGCGGCGGTGCCGACGCGGCTGCCGACGTCGGAGGCTTCTGCGGCCGCAAGGGAGGCGTGAGCGGAGGCGCCGTTCCACCGGGGGCATGGCGCCTCCCCGGCGGCTGGAGGCACAGCCAGGTGAGGGGACGGCAATGGCCTCCTTGACACACGCGCGGCCCGCTCGCGAACCGTCGCGCGCGGCTGAGTGAATCCAAGTGTGAAAGCACCTCCGATTGGCTACGTACGGTGCGAAAGAAGGTTCAGCATGCATACGTGCAAAGCGGACCGAGCTGAGACTGAGTGAACCGCTGCTGCTGCTGCTGCTTTTCCTCCATTTGAATGCGCAAAGTGGGCAAGTGGTGCACGGTCCGCTCCGCGGCTTGGCCAGGGGCTCCGCAGTCACATTCTGGCGTCGGTCCGGGCCGATTCGATTGAGTCGCGTGCTGCGTTTGTGTGTTTGGGGAAAGTCGGCACCGGCTGGTTCAGGGCCGGGTTCGATATCGGGTGTTTGTTCGGGACGTCACTGTTAGCCCACCTTTCCCACCTCATGGCGGACGCTTGTGTTGCGCCCGAAACATCGTGATTTATTTGATTTTATACCTACGTGACTTTTACCGAAAGAACCAAAGAGTATGTTAGCCCAGAATTGTACGCACAACTGAAATGGGTCCTGTCGCTCAGCTAGCCATGCTCAAGAATGATATGTACGTATGTTGAACTTATTTCGCACCGTACACAGCCAACCGCGCGAATCGGAGGTGCGATGAGTGTGCGAGGGAGATATAGCACAATGCGCTATTCAGCCATAATGTTAAATTAAGATGACCGTTTAAGATTTTATATTGAAATCCCAGGGGTCGACTCAGTATATCAATCCTCTGGGGGTGGATAAAGTTACTACCACTTAGTGGGAAGTCGACAATGGCTGTTCGATGAGAGACCGATCCTTGTAATGGGAATGTGGATTTTCCACCATTGACTAGGAGGTACCAGTGGAGATCAGCTCTGGCCAAGTGCTTGTTTGTGCACGGGAGGACATTTTTCGCACGCGCGCGTCGGAAGCAAGAAACACAATTACGGTCCGTAGTGCTCGCCAGTTTTTATTTGCAACACAAACGGCCACGCGGGAAGCTTTGTGCCGCAGCGCACACGCACACAAGTCCGCCGGACAACGCGACCCTTCACCCCACCTCCGCCCATTCGCAGGCAACATCAGACAATGCGGCGGGGCGACCGAATGACCTCGAATCCACGGAGCCGTCGCCGCCGCCGCCGCCACCGCCGCCGCGCCCTTTCCCAGCGTCGCGCTCCAGCGCCTTCTGCTCGCCCTCTTCCCGCCGGGCGACCCACGCATCGCCCCCGGGGGCCAGAGTCCCTCCCTTCTCCGCCGACGGCCCCGCGGCCCGCTCGTCACCGGGCGCCATCGCCGACTCGGCGCCTCAACAGCGGCCGCCGGAGGATCCGGAGAACAGCCTCGGCGGAATGAGGTTTGCCGTAACCAGGAGAAGCAGCCTGGGGAAGGAGGAGTCGATCTTCGGCCTCACCGGCAAGTACCTCTGCAGGGAGTCTCTGCTCGGCAAGCGGGTGAGCCTCCCCGGCAGCGAGGTTCCGTCGCGAGAGAGCGACCGCGCCTACGGGGACGGCCCAGCCGCCGGCGCGCAGACGTCGCCTTTTAAGAACAGCAAAAGCTCCGCCGCTCTGCCCGAGCTGCCCGGGGTGTACGGTTGGGCGGCGTCGCCGCGGCGGGCGAGCTCCTCCTACGCGGGGCACGCCGGCGAGCGCACGGCCTATGACAAGGACAGCTCGCGGGGATTCGTCTCCCGCCCGGCCACCCCTCCGGAAGCGTCGCGAGTGGGCGCCGCGTTCTACACGGATGTCGCATCCGTGAGCCCCCTCCGCAGCTCCTATGCCGACTCGTCCACCCGCCACCGCCCGCCCGACGGCAGGGAGCGGTACAGTCTGGACCAGGGTTACGGAGCGGAGCCCGCCAAGGGGTATGGCCACCCGGGGAGCGATCGGCGTGGCGTGCGTGCAGAGCGGAGCTGTCAGAGTGACTCACTGCCTCTGCAATGCACTGCCGACCATCTGGGCTACGGGGAGCAGAGTCCCTTTAATGATGCGGGCGAGCAGAGCCGGGAGCGGCAAACGACTCCTGACAGGTGGCTGCCCGGGGACCGATACGGCCACGAGTCCGCCGAGGCGTTCGCCGAGCCCGCGGGCGGCTCGCCGTACCCGCCGTACCCGCCCTCGCCGAGCGAGCAGCTCGTGAGGGCGGCCAGGGGGGGTGGCGGCTACGGCCACCGCGGGGAAGAAAGCCCGCCGGCAGGCCCGGAGCAGCAGTGGCAATCGAGCGGACGACGTTACGGCCAGCAGACGGAGGGACCTTACGAGGATCCCGCGGCGCGCGTGCGGCCCGCCCTCGGCGCGTACGCGGACGGTCAGTCGGAGCGGCGCTGCTCCACGCTCAACCGAGCTTGGAGCGGCAGCCGGCACAGCGTCAGCCTGTACGGCCAGGGTGTCTACGCGGACGCGTGCGCGCAGCGGGACGATCGACAAAGCGCGGCGCGCCGCTCCCCGCACGACGCCACCCACTCGTCCGGCAGGAGGCTGAGCCATCAGGAGATCGCGCTCGGCGGGTCGATGAGCCGGGAGGCGGAGAACGGGCGGGTCGGCACGAGCCGCCACGGCCGCGGGGAGGCGTTCCCACACGCGTGGCCGAGCGGGCGCAGGGGCAGCCTGCAGCCGGGGGGAGCCGCGTACGACGACGACGACGAGCCGGGGGACACTCGGGGCTCGCCGCCGGCGTGGCGAGCGTCTCGCTGCCTGTACGAGCGGCGCGGGGCCGAGTTCCTGGGGCAGCTCGCAGGTGAGGAGGCGTCGTCTCCCCCCCCATGCACCCCCCTGTGTGTGCCGAGTCGGCACCGGAGGAGAGCGCCGATTTCGGTGCGCGCCCCAAGGTCAGGGGTTTAACGTTCCCGGTCGCCGCAGAGCTGCGGGCGAACCAAAGAGTTAAGCACTGCAAATGCCTCGGATGAGTCAATTCATAATAACATGATGCTCGTGTAAATGTAACGCGTGTCAATCGTGGGAAATGCGTGCAACCTGTAGCGGAGTGGCCCTGTGGGGCCCGACGTCCACCCCACCGCCCTCGCGAGGCAGGTGGGGGAGCGACGTCTGCCCGTTCCGCTCCCTCCTCCACCGCGTCGGTCGGCTCCCACTGGGCCCCCGCCGACCGAGTGATTGGGCTCCCCGCGCTAGCGCCCTCTCTGAGGGACACGCTCGTGCTGCTGGCTCGTAGCCACACTCTGAACGCGCGCACACGCTGGGGCTCCGCGTTCACCCTCGCCGCGCGTTCCCCCATGCAGTCGCTCCACACACAAATCACAGATTCCACACCGATGCTCTGTACTAACTTTCATTCTTGGCGCAAACCCCACACTACTCAGAGGGAATATTTCGCGAGAAGAGCCGAGCCTACTGTTGCCCCCGTCCCCAGATGCTCAAACGCCCTACCACGTACCTCGTAGCTTTACTCACGGCGTTGCAGGGATGCTGTGAGAGTCGGAGGGAAGAGGACGAAAAAACCTTGCCCATCACTGCCTCGTAGCAGCACTCACAGGATGCCAGGGAGGAGGGGGGTCTTGGCGACCAAGATGTTGAAGAAGAGTTCTCCTTTGAATCGCATCAGGCTCCCCTTTTATTACCCTCACTTCAAAAACCCGGGGTCTCGTTGTACCGCACGGCCAATCGTAGCGCTGCGATCCCCTGACCTCATGGTCTGCTCTTCTCGCTTAATAATCCACTCCAGCCCCTACCGATGTCGTGAATGACTCATTGCGGCTGGCATGGTGAACTTTTTTGCGCCCATACAATGTTAAGCCAACTCAGGGGCACTGCGAGGGTCGGTCAATCTCCTGGCACCGGGAAACCGTGGGACTTTCCTCTTAGGGAACCTTCGGATTAAAACCCGTTGTGCCAAGCAATCCCCCGCCAGGACACTACTACGTGTGTGCGCTGCGTGTGTGCTTAGTATGGGGGCCAGGGGGGAGTCGCGGCGCTTGCAGAGTTGCTTCGAGGACGTGGCACCACAGCCCTCCAATTGTGTGAAATGTCCGCACATTTAATTCAGACCCTCTATGACTGCATACACAAAGAGTCGTCAACATTGTTCATGTTATTATTGCCTTGCTGTATGGGCAGGATCTGGGGTTGAGCCTCATCTGTTTTGGCTATTAGAGGATGGATCGCAGTGTCTCCCATGCAGCTATAGCCATCGCACCGCACCGACGACATCCCAGTCTCTAGCTCCAACCTTAACGCGGCCACTAACCCTGAACCTCGCCCGAACACTAGCCACGGTGCCTCGTGGCAAGGCGTGATTGTGGCTGGTATCGGCGATTTTCTTACAGATGGGCAAGGAAGCTTCGATGGCTGGGGAGACGCAACAGCGTGCAGGGCAGACCTTCCCACACCACCGGCGCCACAGCAACAGCATCATCATCATCATCATCAGCAGCAGCATTATCATCATCAGCAGCAGCAGCAGCGGCAGCTGATGGACGGCGGAGACACCCATGGTTACGCCAGCCCCATGCCAGCGTCCTCGCCGCCCGGCAGCCCCGGATACCCAAGCAGTGCGAGTGAGGGCGACCTCACCCCTCCGGCGATTGGCTCGTTCGCACCGCGTGCATTGCGCCCTTCAGGTCGTGTCAGGTTGTCTGCCTGCGCAAGCCAACGTCTCCATTGGCAAAGTGGTGCAAATCCTAAATCCTTGTTGTTGTGGTGGCGGGGGCCGGTCTCTCGAACAGGACGGCCACTGCTGACGCCTCATGAAATCGTACTCATTTTTGGACCCCCTGAGGGATGGTGGATTGAGTGGAGTTAACCTCCCACCGGGATTTGAATGACTATCGTTTCACGTTGACTGCTCACAGCGGCTCCCAGTCATATTTGTATGCTTGGTAAACAAACAAGATTTGAATGTTGTTAGATTATGATATATATATCCTTTGTAGAATTTGTAATCTGTAAGACACCGTTGTATTTAAATGCTTATTAAATCCAAACTTTAGTGTTTACATTCCTGTTGGTGGTTGACTTCTCCAGAATTAACATTCCCACTTTGTTGGAGGTCAGTAGCAGTTGTCCTTTTGCCCACCAATAATTCAAGGCTGCCACAGGCTAGAGGCACGGTAGGTGCTTATTTAAGTAGAGAAACAGTGCGTGCAATAATATACCGTAATTTGAATCACATGATTTTAACATTATTTACACACTCCACGGAAACCTCGCAGTAGATTACACGGGGCTCGACTCCCTTGCAGCCGAGCCTCAACGAGCAGCGAGCAGCTCCGGCGCCACCTTCACCACCGGACCATCGCCCTCTCTTTTCGCTCGCCAGTTCCATGCAAGCAGCCGGGGAGCCGGCAGGCCAGCCCGCCGGCGCATCCGCTCTACCAGGCACGCGGTTACACCGCGGACGGGCCGGCCTACGGGACGCCGGGGGACGTCTACTCGTCGCGCCGGCAGTACGCGGCGCCCCCCGCCGATCCCTACGGCCCCCCGGCGCACGGCGGCGCGAGGCCGCCCCCGCGGCCCGACACCCCCTCGGGTTTCGCGAGCCGACGCGCGGAGTCCGGCGGCGGCGGCAGTCGCCAGGGCTCTCCCGTCACGGACGCGAGGAGGGCGTACGCGGTCTCCGACGGGCCCTACGGCGCGTCCCTGGGACGGGGCGGCTACGACGAGGCGGATGCGGCCTTCCGGATGGAGGACGCCGACCCCGAGGATCGAGCGGGCGACGGGGACGACGCCTTCCGGTGGCCCCCGGCTGGCGCTCCCGCCCAGCTGGACACGATTTACGCTCGGGCGGGGACGGCGCTGGTGCCGTGCGAGACAGAGAGCGGCACCCCCAGGTGAGGACCCTCCTCGACGGTGCCTCCCCCTCGCCGTGCCGCGGGCCCGTCTCGGAGTGAGGGCAAATGGAACGCGACGAAGCTGGGCTCACGTTACGAACCACTTTCTGGCTTGATGCGCCGAGCGGAATTGAGTCAATGAAAAACGCGCAGATAATAACGTGTCAACTTTACTTCGCGTGATCTAATAACAGTGGATAGAGGGATCCCCGCAGAGCTTTGTAAATGTATCCCAAGCGCTATCCCACAACCCCAGTTCTGCGAGGAATAAACCACGTCCAACGAGAGGAGGCTCAACGTTGGATGCGGCGAGGTCTTGGCCAAGAGTGAGCTGGCGATGCAACACCTGTTTGAATTCTAACACGCAGAAAGTATCGGGGCAGTGTGCGGAATTAAATTTAAATATTCGTATGAAAAAATCAGAATAGGTTTTACCCTTCCTGGCGATAAAACAGGTGTTAAGATGTTCAAACACCAAACAGAAATATTTTAAAATATGTGTTTAGTTGCATATATATTCATAGTCTAGTCACTGCAGGCTTTGTAGTAGTGCCTAAAGACGAGCTACTGTGATGGATTGTTGCCGCTGAGATCAGCAGCGCTGTGACTTAACTCAGATATGTTGAATTTATTTTGCGCCATGTGTAGCCAACCGTTCTAATCAGAGGTAGAGATGGTGATCAGCAGGTGATCAGTAGAATTATTTTCTACTCAGCTCCTGATCACCATCTGCATGACAGCCATATGGAGGCTCATGCCGGCCTCATTCGCATGAACAGAGGGGACCGAATGGCAATATCTGGTGCTCTCGCAATTAATCCTGCAGGGGTTCCATGAGCAGTATCTGCTGCTGTAGGGGGGAGGTTCTGCCTGAGCTGCCCCCGCCTGGGATTTCCTCTAAACGGACACCGGGAGACGGGGGGAGCTGCCCCGGGACGCTCACTCCGTGCGGGGTGCGGGGTTTGCGGGTGCAGGGAGACGGCGTGGCGAGACCCGGACCTGCCGGAGGTCATCCAGATGCTGCAGCACGAGTTCCCCTCCGTGCAGACCAACGCCGCCGCGTACCTGCAGCACGTGTGCTACGGGGACGACGGCATCAAGGCGGAGGTGAGGAGGCCTGGTGCGACAAGACAAAGATCCCCCGTGTAGCCTAAACAGACTGTTGGGGCAAGTGCTGTTAGCGCGCACCTATGAAGCCCGGCACTGCACACGAGGGGGTGGGTGGCCAGCACCACGTCCGACCGCCTTTGTCTCCCCAGTGGCGATGTTTACTACACACTGCACCGGGTACTCATTTGAGTCTGAGTTGACCTAGGGGAGTCCCAGGACCGGTTCAAATAATTGTCACTTGTGTTGGCCGTGAGCGACACTCACTCACAGTGTCCTAGCCGATGGATTCTCATGATTCTGGATAATGATTTTAATCAAAAATATATTTATTTTCTACTGTAGTCAATGGAGTGTCTTGGTGAGTGAGATGCGTGGTGTATAATAGGTGTTAGGTTGTCGTGGTGTGTGCTGGCTTTGGCGTATGATGGTGAGGGTGGTGTTGATGTCGTACCTGTGGTGGAGACCGTGATATTGTATGCAGTGGAGCTGATGGTATGCAGGAGGTGTTGACTTTGCAATAACAGTGCGATCATTATTACTATATTTTGTTAATATTATGCTTGTTTTCAAGGAACCTTTCACTAAGCCTCAGGACTTGTTTTTATAAGTGCCCTGCTGAGCTATTGCTATGTTTGTCTTCAGTGAGTAATTTGAGAGTCATTTTACTGGTAGGAACCTCCTGGTTACACCAGCCCACACGGGATTATTGTGTCCGTCTGTGCGTCGTGAATCCAAAAATGGGAGGGGTGGGGCTGGGTGGAGAGGGGAGGGTGGGGAGGGGCTGGGTGGGGAGGGTGGGGGGGACTGAGTGGGGAGGGCTGAGTGGGGAGGGTGGGGCTGGGTGGGGGGTGGGAGGGGTGTGGCTGGGTGGGGAGGGGCTGGTTACCCCGTGGTGCCCTTATAAAACTCAACGTTTAACCTACTCACGCCGGCTTGTGCCCGCCCTCACAGTCGGCCATATTTGCGGAATACACCACGCCGCTATTGACCCTGGCCATTGACCGAGCAACCCAACGTTCCTACCAGCTCCCTCCGCAGGAATGTGTTTCAAATATTGCCAAATTGGGCCCACGACGCCAGCCAGCACGCAATGGCTTCTCTTCAAGCGGCGTCACAGGCATCCACCGTGAAGCCGACGGTGAAATTTGTTTGAACAACGTCAACCCCCGGCTGGCATTAACCGGAGCCCCCGCGGATGAGCGGCTTCCCGCACGTTCCAGACGGACGCAAATAGAGAGAGAAAGGAGAGAGAGTGAGAGCGCGTGACCGGTTGCGGCGGTGATCGCCGCCGGCGTCAGGGTTCGCCGCGACCTCGCGCGTCGTCCCCCGGCGGCTGAGCGGAGAGGGCCGCGCGTCTGCGCCGAGGTGCAGGTTCGCCGTCTGGGCGGCGTGCAGCTGCTGGTGGACCTGCTGGACCACCGCGCGCGCGACGTTCGCCGCGCCGCCTGCGGCGCCCTGCGCAACCTGGTCTTCGGCCGCGCCAACGACGACAACAAGCTGGCGGCGCGCAGCTGCGCCGCCGTCGCGGCCCTGGCCCGCCTCCTGCGCCGCGCCACCGACGCCGAGACCCGCGAGCTCGCCACCGGTGGGTCGGCGCTCGCGGCGTCGGACGGTCGTCACTGTCGGTGCGATGCGTCGCTCGGGCTGCCGCCTCCCCGGGTGTATCGCGAGAATAGCAGTCTATCTCGCGGTGATGGAAGAGCAGAGGGAGCTGCGTGCAAATTGCATTGTCCTGAGCAGTGTTCGTTGTTACGCGCGTGACGAAATTGGGGATTCTTTCAAGTCCCGGGAAGAATTACATTCTATTGTTGCGTATGGCAGGATGGTTCGGGAGCTAAATGACAATGTTGAGGTTTGCTTTCCGCGAGAGGGCTTCGCGTAGTTTTGCTACTCTTCCTCTTTACCGAAAGAACCAAGAAGATGACTCTCTGCAGTCACGAAAGCTTTACATCGAAATCTACTCCTCCTCTGTTGGAGGAGCGCACGCGACTCTACACGTGTCCCCGGAGAGCCACCTCAAAAACAGGAATCCTGGGACAACTAGGGCAGGTGACAGACTTGCCGACGCCGGGCATCTGTGCTGGGTACAGAGCGGTGGGTACGAGTCCTACGCGTCTGTGGCCGAAGCGCTGACCGTAGGAATTTCTGCCCCTCGGTTCAGGGGTGCTGTGGAACCTGTCGTCCTGCGACTCCCTGAAGATGCCGATCATCCAGGACGCGCTCACCGTGCTCACCAACACGGTGCTCGTGCCCCAGGACATGGACAGCCTCAAGGAGATGGGAGTCGACAGCCAAATCCTGGCCAACACCACGGGCTGCCTGCGGTGAGCTCCTGCCACTTCCCACTTGGGAATCGTCTTCCTGTGAACTGTGAGCGGCCATCTCGAGTCGTCAGGCTGGTCACATCGCGCGGATTTCAACAACGGCATGGTGACAGCATTGCCGTGTGATGTGCGGTGTGTGTGTGTGTGGTGTGTGTGTGTGTGCGGTGTGTGTGTGCGGTATGTGTGTGTGTGTGCGGTGTGTGTGTGCGGTGTGTGAGGTGTGTGTGTGATGTGCGGTGTGTGCGGTGTGTGTGTGTGTGTGTGCAGTGTGTGTGTGTGCGGTGTGTGTGCCGTGTGTGTGTGTGCGGTGTGTGTGTGTGCGGTGTGTGTGTGTGTGTGTGCAGTGTGTGTGTGCGGTGTGTGTGCCGTGTGTGTGTGTGCAGTGTGTGTGTGCGGTGTGTGTGTGTGCGGTGTATGTGTGTGCAGTGTGTGTGTGCGGTGTGTGCGGTGCTCCGTGTTAAGGGGGGCGGTGGAGCAGTAGTTAGCGCGCTGTGCTACAAACCCGGCGACCGGAGTGTCAATTTCTGCTCATGTCCAACACCGGTGACAATCATCGTAACCGGTCATGGGCCTCCCCTAGGTCGGCTCAGTCACAAATGAGCATCTGGTGCGGTGTGTGTGCGTGTTGCTCGGTGTGCGTGTTTTTATTTGCGTGCGTGGGTCGTTTGCTGCCATTCACGTGTGCGACGCTCGGCTGCCCGTGTGCGACGACCACCTCCGTGCAGCAACGTGAGCTCCGCGGGCGAGGAGGCTCGCCGGAGGATGCGCGAGTGCGACGGCCTCCTCGAGTCGCTGCTGTCCATGGTGCGTGCGGCCCTGGGCTCCAGCAGCATCAACGGCAAGGTGCGTTCACACGAGCGGCACGCGCAGAGAGGTACCTCCGTTGTGCCCTGCTCCTGGAGAAGTGGACCAATTACGTGGTGACCTCACTGCCACTTACACCTCGCTACCCTGGGGCCGTGCCGATCCAGCCAGGCGTAGCTAAGGACGCACCATGTGGCTTTTCCACTGCACAAGCCGAGCCATGCCGCTGACGTCACACACAATGAACGAGTGGAGATTCATGTTAGATGACGATGTATCCTTAAAGTGTAGTGTATGATGTCACATGCAATTAGTGCATCATTTGCATCTTCTCCCCGTGGTCGTGTGGATTTTTCTCTGGGTCCTCGGGGTTTTCCCCCTCCACGTTTAGCAATGGGCATTGAGAGTATTTGGCTGCTATAAATGTGCATATGATAAGCCACTTCGTTGAGCTATCATTTGTGGCTGGGTCGCTTCTGAAACGGAGCTGTCTGTACAGCTCAGTGGGCCTTACCGGGTCAAATAAAATAAAAAAGTGTATAGTTTAGTTTATATCAGTGGTGAATGTCGCCTGCTGCTGATACCACCACTGCTGCTGCTGCTGTGTTTTCCCAGGTGGTTGAGAACGCGGTGTGCGTCATGCGGAACCTCTCCTACCGCCTGGAGGCCGAGACGCGGCAGGGGCAGCAGCTGCGGGCGTCGTGGCGCGGCGGCGATGCCACGGGGGCCGGGATGACCTCGTCGCGAGACGAGAACGGGAGCTGCTGGGGAAAGCGTGCACGGAGGAAGCACTTGGACCTCGAGGTGAGGCGCAGAGGAGAGGGGAGGTCTCAGCCGTGATCAGATATCCCTTTATCCTCGCAGCGGCAGCGGCTTTTGGCTCGCCATCGAACAAAGATGGTAGTCACCGCATCGCGTGGCGCTATCAGATGCGCTTGTGCAGCCGTCTGGAACGCTCTTCCCACCAATGTTAAAAAGCCACTGGATATGTGCACTTAGAAATCATCTAGATTGAAAACTGATTTCTTTCGAACTGCTTTTTGCGGCGAATTTGTTATCCTTTCCCCGCACCTCCGATAAGCGTGGTTGGCTACGTACAGAGCAAAAGAAGTTCAACATACAAACGAATTAATAACAAAGTGTAAGCCCAGAGAGGCCATCGAGGGAGACCTGGATCCAGAGAAGCAGACATCAGCCGTGTGGAATTTACTGGTCATCAGATTTCCTTGCCTGATGTTGTGTTCCCGGCTCTCAAGTGGACAGTCTGGTGGTGGGTGGTTGGCAAGTAGCCAAACGAACCTCAACAAGTCCATAGATGTCACGAGACAGACCTCTTAAAGTTGTCAAAAAAAACAACTTGACAATTTACGAAGTATTATACATTGTTCACAAATGCTTTATTCATCCTTGGAACCATATCACTAGAACATTTACCAAACTGTATTACACATAGTCAGCTAATAGAGGCTCGTTTATAATACTATACCCGTAATAATGACACTGGGCATTTATCAAGAACTGTAGTAAACAGTGTTAACTGATAATACTGGATCCTTCGTACAAACATCCCAAATCTGCTTAATGTCCGCTTCTCAGAAAGGCGCTCGATTTGGCGCTCATCGATTTAACAAAATTTTGTCACGAGGGGAAACGGTGGCGAGATGTTAACTACCTCACCTGGTATACAGGAGGTCGTGGGTTCGATCCCGACCCTGATGGCCTTGAGTTTGCATGTTCTCCCCGTGGTCGTGTGGATTTTTCTCTGGGTCCTCCGGTTTTATGCCTCCGCATTTACAAAAATGCGTTGAGAGAAATTCGGCTGCTATAAATTTCCACGTGATAAGCCACTTTGTTGAGCTATCATTCGTGGCCATGTCGCTCATGAAAAAGAGATATACATCTCAGTGGGCCTTACCTGTTGAAATAAAAAAAATTAGTTTCCAGTTCATAGCTTCAAGACGCCGCCAGATCTGTCTAGCGACAGCGTCATGAATGCACGCGGCCGCTGTGGTGCCGCAGTGGGACGGCTCGGGGCCACTGCCGGACTGGGCCGAGCCGCCGCGCGGAGTGGAGCTGCTGTGGCACCCGTCCGTGGTGAAGCCCTACCTGGCGCTGCTGGCACAGTGCTCCAACCCCGACACGCTGGAGGGGGCGGCTGGCGCTCTCCAAAACCTGGCAGCCGGATCCTGGAAGGTGGGGAGCACAGTTGCACCTTCTACCGCGTGGCCGTACGTCCTTGTGGATCCGTGTGCATGTGTGTGCGGAGCGGTAGCGTAGCTACGCTATGAACCAGGCCACCCGAGTTCGATTCCCGCTCATGGCCAACACCGGTGACGATTATCTGAACCGGTCCTGGGCCTCGCCTAGGTCTACTCAGCCTCAAATGAGTACCTGGTGTGTAAGCATCACCGCTGGGGAGACGAAGGCGGCCCGCCCTCTTGTGTGCCGTGCCGGCCTTCGTAGATGTTCAGCACTTTCCCCAACGGTCACACGAGAGGGATCTTTGTGTACGTGCGGCCGTCATGCTGGACTCCTTCATCGGCGCTCTCTGACAGCACTCGCCCCAATGGTCTGTTGAAGCTACCACGGTGGGTGGGTGGATGCCCCCGTGTTGTCGTGGTAGGATCGTTTATAATCGTAACCCTGGACAGTTATCAAGTACCATATGAATCACAGTTAACTGATAATACAGGATCATTGATACTTAAATGGACATCTGTGAAACTGCTAGACATCTGTGCAAAAGAGATTTGACAGCTCATCGGATTCCCGCGGTACAAATGGATATTTAAGATGCTGATGATTCCGAAGTGTTTTGCGTGTTTCCCGCGCAGTGGGCTGCGTACGTGCGCTCCGCCGTGCGCAAGGAGAAGGGGCTGCCCATCCTGGTGGAGCTGCTGCGCGTGCAGAGCGAGCGCGTCGTCTGCGCCGTCGCCACCGCCCTGCGCAACATGGCCCTGGACGCGCGCAACAAGGAGCTCATCGGTGTGCGGGGTCACGGGGTCACGGGGGTCACGGGGGTCACGGGGGTGGCGGGGCTCGCACACGCAACTTCAGATAGCCACCCACCGCCGCGAATGTCAGCACCAAGGGAGCTTGCTCGGGATACCGAAATGTGGCACGCAGCTGAAGGGAGAGAGAGAGATGGAGTCATCTCGCTGTTGGAGCGTTGTGCCGGGTGGCGTGATTATTGGTATTCATAACGAGGCAGCTGGAAGCCCTCGAGGGGTTTTTCTTTAGACTGGTTCATGACAGCCGCTTTCTCAGCTCATGTCCCGTTAGCCGTGGGTGCTCCTGGAGCCAAAGTTGCCGCGGTTGTGAGCGGCCACCGGACGTGCGATATTCCGGCCAAGATGGAGCCATCGCCATGGATTCTCTCTCTTTCTCGATTGGGACTCTACTGGGCACAACTTTTATTCGGTAACTCGTATTACAAAACAACAACACGTGGCAATCAGTAGGCGTTCGCAAAATTAGTTGAAACTGATCCCTGCGCTACGAGGAGTCCTTCTATTCTAGCCACGTTGCTCAGGATCTTGGTCTTCATTCTCTCGTCGTGAGCCCCGCTCTCTCTCTTTCTCTGACGCACTTTTATAGCCCCGAGCGCTGTTCGTGTTTAGTGTTTTTGTCCTCCGATCAGCACAGTTGGCTACGTACGGTGTGAAAGAAGTCCAACGTACACACACAATGGCTCCTGCCATCATGATCATCAAATATATTCCTAATTTGTCTGGGTGGAGTCTAAAACTCCCGGATCTCCCCTTCCTATCGGTCACCTCCAAGCCCTTCTCCCCAACTTGTCGTGAGCTCGGTTCGGGTAAATCGCGGCCCACTGCCCCACACGCAGTTATCGAAATATTGTCATGTCACCCGCCAGGGAAGATAAGCTTCACGTGATGTTTGATTTGCCTTTAACAAGGCCACATACGTCCACATGTGCTGTCACCACAGCGCCTTGTTGTCTATTGAGTCGGGATACGAGGGGTAACATTCCTCATGTGTTGGTGCACGAGTGCATGACGCATGGAGCGGTGGTGCAGCGGTTAGCGCTACGTTCCGCTACGAACCCGGCGACCCGAGTTCGATTCTCGCTCACGGCCAAAATCGGTGAAGATTATCTGAAACGGTCCTGGGCCTCCCCTAGGTCGACTCAGCCTCGAATAAGTACCTGGTGCGGTGCGTAAAAACATTGCCACTAGGGAGACAAAGGCGGTCGGGCGTGGTGCTGGCCACCCACCCCCTCGTGTTCCGTTCTAACCTTCATTAGTGTTCGCTAACAGCACTTGCCCCAACAGTCTGTTGAGGCTACGTGGGGGATCTTTGCCTTTGTCTATGTGCGCGTGCCAGGCAAGTACGCGCTGCGAGACCTGGTGCAGCGACTGCCGCCACCCCCGGGGGCCGTGACGGCGGTGCCGGGAGACGGCACGGACGTCTCGGCGTGCGACGTGAGCACGGCGGCCGTGTGCTGCACCCTGCACGAGGTGGTGAACAAGAACGCGGAGAACGCCAGGGCTCTGCGCGACGCCGGAGGCATCGAGAGGCTCGTGGGAGTGACCCGCGCCAAGGCCGGCAGGCACGTGCTGCTCGCGCCCTCGCCTCGGTCGCCTCACCCCCCCCCACCCCCCCTCCTGCCCTCGACTCGCCTTGGGGAACGAGTCGACAGTCCCAGTGCCCTTTTGGTCGACGGTGGAAATGTTGCCCCGGAAACCCCCTGGAAAGCCTCGGTGGGAGTGGAAATTTGAACCCTTTGAAATCGTTCCGGAAGGAATCAAGGGTTCATTTTTTTTATTTGACTCACATGTAGATCACCCAGACTGACAGAGAGACCCATAGACACGCACAGAGACCCACAGACATGCACAGAGACCCACAGACACACACATAGACCCACAGACACGCACAGAGACCCACAGACACGCACAGAGACCCACAGACACGCATAGAGACCCGCATACACACTCTGAGACCCACAGACACGCACAGAGACCCACAGACACGCTCAGAGACCCACAGACACGCACAGAGACCCACAGACACGGACAGAGACCCACAGACACGATATGAGACCCACAGACACGCACAGAGACCCACAGACACGCATATAGACCCACATACACGATCTGAGACCCACAGACACGCACATAGACCTACAGACACACACAGAGACCCACAGACACACACAGAGACCCACAGACACGTACAGAGACCCTCCATCTCCTCCTCAGATCTAGTTGGTGGTGGGGGGAATCATTTATGCGTTCCTCTAATAATTTGTTCCCATTTCACAATAATATAAATTTACACGTTCCTAGATAAGGAGTGAATTTCTCCACAGAGTGATCATTGTTGACGTTCAATTCATTATGTTGTCCCCCAGAGAAATTCTGGGTTGAATCAACCTCTGACTGGAAGTGTAACTCGCAAAAAAAAATATGCTGCTGCATTGGCAGCGTGCAATGAACACACGTGCAATGAACACACGTGCCATGAACACACGTGCCATGAACACACGTGCCATGAACACACGTGCCATGAACACACGAATGTGTCATGAACACACGTGAAATGAACACACGTGCCATGAACACACGTGCAATGAACACACGAATGTGTCATGAACACACGTGTCATGAACACACGAATGTGCCATGAACACGCGTGCAATGAACACACGTGCAACAGGACTGTGAACGCGCTGCAATGCTTTCTGCTGGTTGCTAGGACAAGGAAAGAAATTTACACCATTGGAACCTCATTTGCCAGTAACAAAATATGATAATTGTTTTAACCCTTTTATCTGGCAACAAAACTGACACCTTTTTTTACAAGGAGTCATTTTTGCATTGACCACAATACCTGCAGTCGGAATGCAAACAAAAAACATATCTCTGACAATGTATGCACTGTCCTTGAAATTGATTGGTCCACACCCGACAGCTTTCTTTAGAGCCTAGTCTCACATGGTGTTGAACCAGGTGCGCCTTTTGGCGTCGTGTTCTGGTGCTCACCTTGGCGGTGTGCACTTGCCGGAGCGGTGCCTCACCCGAGTGCCCGAGCGACTCACGTGCCACCCACGTGCAACCCACGTGACACCCACGTGACACCCTCGTGTTGTCTGTGCCTCCCCAGGCACTCGCAGAAGGTGGTGCGTGCGGCGGCACAGGTGCTGACTCTGCTGTGGCAGCACCGCGAGCTGCGGGGCCTCTACAAGAAGGTGAGAGACTTTTGACTTTCAAACAACTTTTATTGCCGCCAGCAGCAACAGCACTGGAGGCGATTTCGATATGAAATACGCAAAGTCACCAGCAAACAAATGAAAATAAACGCTACAAATCCACGCGCTGTGGCGCTAAAAGCACCGCGCACAACACGAAAGAAAAGCCACGTGGTGGTGGTGGTCATCGCGCATGCCACGGTGACGAGCGAGCGCTTCAGAAGGTGAACACGAGGGTGCCGTCCACGCTGGTACAGAGAGGGGCTTGTCTGTCTCCCCAGCATTCGAAAAAGACGTGCATATCACCGGCATGTGTGTGGTATACGTGCTCCAGCCGGAGCCGTGCCTTAAGCAGGCCTCTGAACACTGGAAGCACAGAGCAGCCGTCAGTGTCACCTTCCAGCATCTTTTTTCTCGTTCTGTACACCGCCATCTTCGCCTGAGCACAGGCGAAGTTGGCGAGGTCATGGCGCTTGTTAGCCAGGTAAGGCACCACCCCATATACGAAGCTGCTGTTGTAGAAGGGGAGAGAGAGGGTGTGGAGCTGCACCGACTTCCCGACTCTCCCATTGTGTCGGCATGTAATAATCGATTCGCTGCCGGGTGAAGGGCCGTCCAAGCCGTGAGCACCTCGCTCTGATCCTACTTTCGCGACCAATATCATCCATAATAGAGGGAGGGGTTAGATATCGCGTAAATATAAAATTAACGACACATTTATATATTTACGCGATCTAACCCCCCCCCCCCCCGAAAAAAACCCTCTATTATGGATGTTAAATCCCCTCGGCGTCCACTTATGCATGTCCGTCGACTGTCACTCCCACTCTGTAGTTATAGCAGCTGGCAAGCGCTGTATACCCGTTACCTTCGGATGACCTATGTCTCCACGAATGTAAAGATGCCTTTGTGCCTGATGGTAAAAGTTAAACCGTTTCAAAATGTACACTCTCAACACAACTTCGGTGTCTCCATGCGCACGTGCTCAGCGCCCTTTCTCAATCAGTCAGCGATCAAAATTCCACATTCCTGCGACGAGGACAGGCCCCCTTCCGTGAGACGAACCACCATTTAAATGTCCACGAAGCGTCGACTACGTTGTTGGGGCTGCAGTGCATCTCCCCCCGCACGTGTCTCCCGCCTCCTGAGCCGTGGCGTGAGCTGTGGACGGTTGCCCTGCAGGATGGCTGGGTTCAGGGTGACTTCACACCGCCGCTGTCGTCCTCTGACTGGGACAAGGTGAAATTGTACGAGACTCCCTCGTCTTCGCCGGCGAACAGGAGACCCTCGCCCACCACCCAGTCAGGTGAGGGGCGCTCCTCTGAGGACCCTGGAACTTGCCGAACGACCGCCCCGTTTGGCGTGACGACCCCGGTCGCACGTTCGGGCAGCCACCGCTGAGCAATGGCTTGAGAGGTGCATCGGTGTGAAGAATGCACTCTGGTGAAAAATAAGAAGAGGTCTTACTCCTCGTGGCGATGAAACAGGCGTTAACATCTTCTTGGTTCTTTCGGTAAAGTCACGTAGAAGGGAAGTAATAAAATAATAAAAATAAAACATAATAAAATAATTATATTATTTTATTATGTTTTATAATTATATTATTTTATTATGTTTTATTTTTATTATTTTATTACTTCCCTTCTACGTGACTTTACCGAAAGAACCAAGAAGATGAATCCCTGCAGTCACGAAAGTTTTAAATCGAGGCGTTAACATGTTCAAACACCAAACAGATGCCTTTCGGGAGGCATCAATTCTGCCCTGACCACACATATTTGTTGGAAAAAACATGAATTAATGCAGACTTGATGCCTCGCAAAACGTATCTACTTGGTGTTTTAACATCTTAACGCCTGTTCTATTACCACGAGGGGTAAGACCTCTTTAAATTTTTTTAATCATTTGAGATACTGTCAAAATAAAAAAAGGTCCCACAGACGCTCTGGTGTTAATCTGGGCAATGCTCTTGCGGTGGTTTGTGAAGTTGGGAGCATCGCGTCCTCTCGCGAGCTCCTCAAGACGGAGGAGAGGAGGTCCCAGGAGTCGGAGAAGAAGAGAAGCATCTCTACGTCGCGTTACGACGTCGCTCACACAGGCAATGCCGTGCACGGTGGCGCCAACGGAGGTGAGAGGGGGGGGCGCGTTCCGTCACGTGCAGTCACGCAAGGCGCGCGCGCACCTCTGGAGTACGCCTCTGGTTTATGTTGTAGAAGCGACCGGAGCCACATAATCACTACAGAGCGCATTTAAAAGTCTGGTACCCTCAGAGCAATTCAGAGGGAAGATCGTGGATAATTATTGCCTCGTTTCCAATGCGTCACATTTGTCTCTCGCACAGTGGGGTTGACGGACCTCACCATTTACTGCTTTGTGTACCTCAGGTAGGAGCCATTCCACATCCCGACTCCCCTCAACGACTTCGTACAAGTCGACCTCCATGCGGACAGCCACGGAAAACAGCGCCCCACAGGTGGGGCGCGCCCAGCTCGCGACACGCACCGCACGTTCACGTGACACGCACCGCACGTTCACGTGACAGGCACCGCGCGTTCACGTGACACACACCGCGCGTTCACGTGACACGCACCGCACGTTCATGTGACACACACCGCGCGTTCACGTGACACGCACCGCACGTTCACGTGACACGCACCGCACGTTCACGTGACACACACCGCACGTTCACGTGACACGCACCGCACGTTCACGTGACACGCACCGCACGTTCACGTGACACACACCGCACGTTCACGTGACAGGCACCGCACGTTCACGTGACACGCACCGCACGTTCACGTGACACACACCGCACGTTCACGTGACAGGCACCGCACGTTCACGTGACACGCACCGCACGTTCACGTGACACACACCGCACGTTCACGTGACAGGCACCGCACGTTCACGTGACACGCACCGTGTGTTCACGTGACACGCACCGCACGTTCACGTGACACACACCGCGTGTTCACACGACACACACCGCACGTTCATGTGACAGGCACCGCACGTTCACGTGACACACACCGCACGTTCACATGACAGGCACCGCGTGTTCACGTGGGCAGCACGCCCCTTCGCGTGCCGAGCACGCGCCAAGCAGGTAACGCGCGGCGTAACGACCGCCGCGCGTGGTCTTTTTTGTTCCCCCCGCAGCTGCCGCCTCCCCCCGCGCCGCCCGTCGCGCCGGGGCTCCGCGACTCCCCGCAGCGCGCGCACGGCGGCGGCGTCGTGGGCCACGCGCACCGCCCCGCCCGCAGGGACGCCAGGTCGGAGAGACGCATCGACCGCTACCCGGCGGCGCAGCCTTCCTGCGGCGCGTCCCCGTACGAGGCCGGCCACGTTCAGCACTCGCCCGACTCGTGGGTGTGAAGGCGGCGGCCTCGCGACGACGACTTGGGGCTTCCCGCAGGCGCGGCGCCTCTCGCTCGGTGGCCCCCGGGGCTCGCTGACGCTACCGCGAAGGGGACGCATCGGAACAGCTGGTGGAGCCCACGGTGGGGGAGTTGTGGGAGTTGTCTGCCAGCCCGGTTAAGAGCTCGACTCCTGGCCGTGTCGGAGGCGGACACGCAACCGTGCACCAAAACACGGCGAGCCGGCGACAGGACGCTGTGCTTGAGGACGGACTTGTCTGGAGTCCCTTGTTAAACCGTCAACGTTGAAGGTTGTCCCACGTGTGAATGTGTGTACGTGTGTCTTAGTAATCGGAGGTAAATATGTGTACACGTCGATGCCGACGTGTACACATATTTGGGGACGTCTGAGCCGTGCGCTACGGCACGCCTTGGGTTCCGGGATGAGCGTCGGTTGGCGCTGTGCCGTCGAGGATGGCTGGCGGGTTGGGTCAGGGCTCGGGGGGGGGGGGGTTAGGGTTGCGTGTTGGGCTGTTTGCGACGAGGACCATCCACTCGTGAAAGATCACTCCGCAGTGCGGCTGAGGCACTGGCAATCTATGCACGACGATGCACAGTCGGTGTGCACTGGGCGTGCCAAAGCGTCGCAGTGCGCGCTACGCGCCAGCTGTGCTCACACAGCTGGCATTAATTCCCCCTGAGTTTACTTCCCCCATTCGAAGGCGATGTGCTCCTTCCTTCGCAGTTGAGCCTGCAGTCATCGGCCTCTAGCAGCGATAACCACAGTTATCTCCTGAACTGCCATTCTGGACTAAAAAAAAACATCACAGTCATTTTATGTTTCGGACATCTATCGAAAGCTATTACGCAGTAATACAGCTTGCTAATTGCAGCGCTGTACTTTATTGTAATTTTAAACAAAGACTTGTGACTGAAATAGTGGAGACTTTAAATGTTCTTAGACTGATCTACATCCGTAAGCAAAGATAACTATGTAACTGTCTTAAATCTCATTCCTCTTATAATCTGCATTTATTCTGTACTCGTTGAGGCCTTTTTGGAAAACAAGAAAACTTCAGGAACTGCGTTTAGCAGTGGAGTCAAAACACAGGCCGGAGGTCCGGCGACTTGCCACGGTCATCATTTAACAGACATCTGCCTCCGAGCTGTCGAATTTGCGCTCTTATAACGAATTCGTTTTACGGCGGTGTTAGTTGGCAAACATTGCCAGCCTGTGTTTTACCCTCAGAAATGTATGCAGCCAAAGTGGTACCATAAAATGGAGCCTCAACAGTGTTGTACGGTACTTTGATCATGTCATCAATCAAGCAACGGTGTTGTACATTGTCACGGCTAATGGGTACACTATTGTGCATGACCCTCTGCCTTGAATATCATAAAGCATCGGTGTGGCCCGCCTTGACGTGGGTCTGTAGAGTGCACACTGCACGGTTCTCATTTAAATTGGCTGAACAGACTGTAATTAAATATATATTCCAACAGAATCTAATTCAAGTGAACTTAGTGCCGTGTCATGAGAATCCGTTTAGATGTTTAGCCACTGCCATCCGTCGTGGTGTTCATTCTGACAAACCGTGAATGCATGCTCTTTTACCAGCGGGCATAACTTCGTCGTGTTTGTGTGCGGTTTCATGCGTCGTGTCTCGAGCGTGCCATCCCGGGCGGCGGCAAGTCTGTCAACGTTCTCCCGCCCGCGACGCCACGGCAGGGCACGACGCTCCACTCTGGACGGAAGCTGTACCTGCGGCGCTCTTGTCTGGATTCCAATAACACTTTGAAATGCCTGCCGTGTGCACGCGTGCGCTCTTTTGTTGTCGTCGCTTATAGGGGGGCGGCAGCGTGGATGAGTAACTGCGCTTTGGGGAATCCACGCAGCGTGCACCCACGATTCTCAAGACTCCCAATTCACGTGCCTCTCCCTAATCGCATCAACGTTGATCAATGTTCTCCACGCACGCGTGCATCATATGCCGCGAATGCCGTCTCGTTTCAGTTTCATTTATTAGGCATAGCCCTGTGAGCCATGCGGCTCTTGACTTGGGTGCAACAAACAAAAACACGAACAAGAAACATCTTAAAGTGACTACACGCAACAGAAACATCCATGAAAAAACAGCAAAAGTCTTCCAGAAAAAACACCGCATTCCAACGATGTGTGCAAAAATCCCAGTGGGATGCAAGTCAAACAATGGCATGCAGAGAGCGCTCCCTGCCCTTGCAAGGCGTGAAACTTCCATTCAAGCGCTGAGCAGTCACCCGTCACACGTTGCTTTAATTTTTAAAAGCAGACATTGTTGGCTCTGGGAGAGACAAGTGCATCGAGTCCAGTTGTCCAATATGAAGCCTCTGGCCCCTTGAGGAAACTTGTGCCACCCGTGACCCCATAATGACCTTTTAAGGCCGGTGGCAACACTTTTATGGAGTCCAGGGGTTCTGAGTAGCCCTGTTTATTTATTACCTGTTTTATTTTACCAGGCCCACTGAGTTATGTAGCTCTTTTTCAGAAGAGACCCGGCCACAAATGATAGCTCAACGAAGTGGCTCATCGTGTGGAAATTTATTGCAGACAAATGCACTAAATGCACGTTGGTTCTTAATATGGAGGGGAAAACCCGAGGACCTGGAGAAAAATCCATGCTACCAAATGGAGAACGACACGCAAACTCTAAATATACAGCAGCAGGCGTTAGGGTTGGGATCAAACTCACGACCACCTGTAGACCAAGCGAGGTAGTTAACATCTCGCCACCGTGGCGCCCTGTGCTACAATCAAGGGAATTTACAACAGTAACTTGTCTATTGATATATATATCTGAGCATAGAGCTGGGCTATTCGATAATTTAAGTAACCAATTACGCTCCCGATTTTCGGTCCGTTCACTTGAAAAATAGAGGCGGAAAAGAATGCCCCGATGTGTTGCTGAACGGGAGGTGATGGGTGGAGCTTGTTGATGTAATCGGAGTCATCAGGCACGTCGCACTGGGCGTGGCTTGCACGGGGTTTCCTGCTTTCCCAGGCATAATGTAGGGGTCATCAACTAATCATTATTGATTGTAGTGATGAGAAACAGTCGTGGCAGGCTGATGGCGAGTGTATTCTAGTTGAAGGACTTTTGGGTAATCCTTACACATACCACGAGTGCGGTAAAGCAATGGGGGGGTGGAGGGGAGGGGTGTCGGGGGGGGGGGGTGACCTTGAACCAACCATTGACCCAACAGAGAGACGTAACTAAAGTCGAGTGGAATGCCATGTTTATCTACAGGCACGAGTTGACATTTTAAATACCAAAAGTATTTAAAGGCTGTTTCACTTCTATCTAAGCTACAACAATATGATTGGATTTACCTGTGTAGTGGGTTAAATAAGTAGAGGAGAGTTCTCTGAGGCAAACACCGAATTTATTTAACAATGAATCCTTAACACAGAGGGGGCACGGCCCCTCACACCCGATACGCTCAGGAGGGAGCCCCTCCGGACCCATACGCCTCTAACTGGCTAACCTAACAACGTGTTGAGTGAAGCTTGGGTCTTCACTGGTATAAGCTAGAGCCGACCCTAGCCAGGGCTACGGCTCTACCTGTTGGGCTCCTCTCTCCTGGAGGCTTTTCGATCCTTCGGGTGAACGACGACTGCCGGGACCGTTCAGAGGTTGTGGCTTTGATGCAGGGCCGTGGCTCGCTCCGCCCCGGCCACAGCTTCCTTCCTGAACCTTCCAGAAGGACCTGGGGGTGATGTCATCACCCAGCCCCCTCCTGGGGTCAGGAGTCTGTACCTCTGGACTTGCCGTTCCATAGGGGTTAACCGTTGGGCCATGGTCTCTTAGCACTGGGGCTCAGACCCTCTTCTGCCCCCTATTGGCATGGGGCCGGTACTACCGGCTAACTGCATGGGAATATCGCATCTTCGCCCAATAACACCTTAACACATGTATGTTCATTACATGCTTATACACAATACCAGGAAGAGTGCACTTTCCTAACCTTAACTATCCTCAGTATGCGCTTTGCTATACCACGAATGTATCACTATGCTTTATTGAATCAGCAAAGCCCTGCCTGAGTCTCAATACTCTACTCTTTGGTTCTTTCGGTAAAGTCACGTAGTTAGACATAAAATAAAATATAAAATAAATCACGACGTTTCGATTGCAACACAAGAAATCATCATCAGGTGGGAAAACCACAGCAAGAATTTGTTTTGCTGAAGTGGGAGAGAGATGGCGTGATAAGAAGTTACATAGGTAAGAGAGGGGGGAGGGGGCAAGGGGGGAGAGAGAGAGGGGGGGGGCGCTGCGTGGACGCGAGGAGAGGGGACGTGAAGCTGGACGGAGAGAAGTGGGGGGGGGGGGGGGGCTGGAAGTGGGAGGCCGAGAGAGCTGGGGGTGCGGGGGGTTAACTCGGAAACACGGGCGGTGCACGAGTGCCAATGCAGCAACAATGCCAATGCAGCAACAATGCCAATGCAGTAACAATACCAATGCAGCAACAATGCCAATGCAGCAACAATGCCAATGCAGCAACAATGCCAATGCAGCAACAATGCCAATGCCAAGTGTTTGCAATAAGGGGGCCGATGCTGTTGCTCCGTGATCTCAATTGAGTTCATTTGCGGTGTAAGCTGTCAGCATTGAGATATTTGGCCAATAACTGGTTACTGTACATGGTATGGTTTTTGTTTTAGCTATGGGGAGATAACTGGAATGCCCGGAGGTTGCCCATACAAGCTCCACGTAGAGAGGCACCGGAGTTGGGAATCAACCCCATCATCTCTTTGCTGTGAGACTAAACTAAAGGGGTTTTTTTTTACTAGGTCAGGCCCCACTAAGCAATACAGCTCAACAAAGTGGCTGGTGTGGAAATCTGCAGCAGCCCGATACTCGAAACGGCAGTTGAGCATATTTTGCGATTCTTTCTTTCGCAATATTTAGCTTTAAATGTTTCCCAAGCTATGAGTTACACATGAGAATATGGAGGATGATAGACTCTATAGGGATATAAGCGACTTTCTAAGAAGCTCCTTTTCAATGGCGAAGTGGCCAAGGTGGAAACACACGTGACATGGGGAAGGAGGGTTTATCTGGGTTGTATAGAACACAAAGTATATTTTACAAACGTGACGAATTAATACAAAAAGATCAGAGCAATGAACAATGGATATCTAGTAAGTAATAAAACATATTCCGCATGATACTACTGAGAGGAACCCGCGTGGCATTTTTCAAATGACATCTCTCACAGCAAGAATGACACTTTCATTTCCTCTTTTTGAGCGAACATGCTTGCCATTTTCAAGTTGCAGTGACAAGTGGATTATATTAATGGCACTCGTAAATACAGAACAGCAAGGTAAGAAGCTATTAAATATAACGTGCACAATGACACACGTGGGACATATGCAGAAGTAAACGAAACAAAATAATTAATAGTAGCACTACTCTTCAGAAATCTGTGGACTAAGATGATAAAACGTTATTGGCCAGTAATGAAGACTGACTAACAGCGGACCAACGAGACTGCTTTCATCAACGAAGAAAACGACTACACACAAAAAAACCCATTGCCGATGATTAAAAATGTAGAGCGCATTGGTCGACGGAACTCGTTTAAAGTTTGAAGCCAAGGGCCAAGGAAGGACACTTGAGGCGTGGGTGTCACGCGAGGGGGGGAGGGAAAAGAGTTGAGCCAGTGGGACTTTCCGGCGAGACGAGGCAGCCCCTTCTGAAAACACAACTACAATCGTCGTCATCATCAACAACATCACCACCACCTGTTCGTGGGCCGCCGCCTGTGCCCCCTGCTCATGTGCTGGTGGCGGCGAACCTAAGAGACGTAACACTTGGTAAGTTACACGGACAGACACCTAGACAGAGATGGACACACGCACAGCGAGGTGGGTAGAAATAATAATAATAAAATGTAATAAGTGTGCACATATTTCACGAAAGGGAGGCATTGTTCTATTGACAACTCAGAGGCGCGGAGCCAGAGCTCAGTCCCTCCTCGTATGCTAGCCTGGACAGGTGAGAGCCTGGACAGGTGAGAGCCTGAACAGGTGAGAGCCTGAACAGGTGAGAGCCTGGACAGGTGAGAGTCTGAACAGGTGAGAGCCTGGACAGGTGAGAGTCTGGACAGGTGAGTGCCTGAACAGGTGAGTGCCTGAAAAAGTTAGAGGCTGAAGAGGTGATATCCTGGACAGGTGAGAGCCTGAAGAGGTGAGACCCTGAACAGGTGAGGGCCTCAACAGGTGAGAGCTTGGACAGGTGAGAGGCTGAAGAGGTGAGAGTCTTGACAATGCATATACTACCATAGCATGTGGTTTTTTTGTTTGCATGTTCACCACAAGTATATGTGGTTAATGTAAACACGAATTCTTGCAAGAGGTTTCAGTTTGGTGTTTTAACACCGTAACACAGGTGGTTTTACTGCCAGAAAGGGTACAACCTATTCGTCTTGAGCTGCTGCTTGAAGGGGAATGATGCTTGGATGGTGTGCGGTGGGAAAGAGTTTCAGCTTGCAGAGAAACGCCGCTCGGCCAGGCATAAGATCGACCAGCATTGCACTGGTTCTGGTTAGGACGATCCTACAATTAGGCGCGCTCCGTTGGATTGCTGTGGCCGATGGAGTGGAGAGGCATGACAGCGTGCGAGAGGCTGTTTATGAGACACTGGAGTTTGTCAAGAGGTGTTTTCTTATTCATACTCTTTGGCCCTTTCGGTAAAAGTCACGTAGATATAAAAATCTAAAAAATGAAGTGAAAAAAAATACAAAAGAAAAAAACACTAATGTCGACTGTAGCCTGGTTCTTAATCTGAGTGAGTGCAATGGCAGTCTATAATGTAGACTGTAGCAATGGTTTTTAACCTCGGTGAGTGTACTGGCAGTCTATAATGTAGACTGTAGCCTGGTTATTAAGCTGGGTGAGTGTGCTGGCAGTCTATAATGTAGACTGTAGCCTGGTTATTAAGCTGGGTGAGTGTACTGGCAGTCTATAATGTGTACTGTAGCCTGGTTATTAAGTAAAGTGAGTGTACTGGCAGTCTATAATGTCGACTGTAGCCTGGTTATTAAGATGGGTGAGTGTACTGGCAGTCTATAATATAGACTGTAGCCTGGTTATTAAACTGGGTGAGTGTACTGGTAGTCTATAATGTAGACTGTAGCCTTGTTATAAAGTTTGGTGAGTGCACTGGTAGTCTATAATATAGACTGTAGCCTGGTTATTAAGCTGGGTGAGTGTACTGGCAGTCTATAATGTAGACTGTAGCCTGGTTCTTCTTCTTCTGGTGTCCCGGTAAGGATGGCATTGCAATAATCGTGGCAAATGCCGACATTGCTCACAAGTATTTTTTTTCTGTGGCTGCTGTAGTCAACATCGGCCGACGAATGTTGTTCTGAGATGGATGCATTGGATATCTCTGTCGTGTTCAAGGGGTCGCTGTCAATTGATAAAAAAAAAATAAGTCGTAGGTGATGCTGAGGATGTTCAAATGTATTTAAGAGACTGATCGTGGAGCCGGTGGTGAGTTGATTTTGATCGAGCTGTCTGTCTGGTGCCTCTAAAAAAGGCCTATTCGATGTTTCTGGGTTTATTGCGTGTGATGTACGTTTAACTTATTCCGCACTGTACGTAGGTGCGGGGGAAGGACAACAAACTAAACACAAACTAGGTTTAATAAGGGATTTAACCAAAACGTTCTATTCTCGCGTATGGCAATATGTTCAAGAGCAAAATGGCCGTAAGAAGGCATCAGGAGAGAGTTTTGTGTAATGTTGCTATTCCTTCATTGGAGGAGCACAGTGATTTGATTTGCATGGCCACAGTCGTACTGTGGCTTGTGTTTTTTTTATTTTCCATTCATGAAGGAGATGTTGCGCATCGTCCTGCCGATGTTCTGATGCGGTCGATGGTTACACTACCGGTGTCTTCGACGAAATGTCAAAGACGGGAGGTTGCGATGTTTGGGTCACGAATGAGGTGGCGTTTATTTTGAATGTCAGGGTTGTTACGCTCTGTTCGCCGGCGTTCTTCCGGATCTGGGTGAGATTCTAGGATGATCACAGCACGATCTTAGAAGGGAGATTCCGGACATGATTTGGCGGCAAGCAACACTGCTGTTGCTGTAAGGTTGAGGTATCATTTGGAAGGTTTGAGTGGGCCCCAAGTAGAAATTAGAGTGGAGTATGATTGTCAGCGGCTTAGGTGTGAAAGTTAATGCCATTGCTGCCAATGAGATGCCCAATTGGGGGAGATTGAAAAAAGTTAAGGACCCAGGACGAATCCTTGAATAAACTAAAAACTAAACTATTTCTTTTTTATTTTACCAGGTAAGGCTCACTGAGATATATAGCTCTTTTTTCAGAAGTGACCTGGCCACAAATGATAACTCAACAAAGTGGCTAATCATGTGGAAATGCATCATAGCCAAACACTCTAAATGCACGTTTATAAATGTGGAGGGGGAACCGGGGCACCCAGAGAAACATCCACACCACCACGGGGAGAACATGCAAACTCCAAATATACGGGCGTCGAAAATTGTGATCGAACCCACAACCACCTGCATAGCAGGCGAGGTAGTTAACATTCTGCCACCGTGCCACTCCAGGTGAATAACACCTGCAGTGAATGCAACGACTGGGCTTGAGGACTTGCCAACCTTGACGTCGAACCTTTTGTCAGAGAGATACGGTGTGAGCCACCACATCTGTGCAACTGATGGCAAAATTATATCCTAGGCGATCAATCAAAACCTTCTGGTTTAAAGTGCCAAAATACAGACACGGGCAGACAGACTGATATAAACTAACAGCGGCAAAGACAAAGGCACACACATATGGAAGACGCATACATGGACACGGACAGATGGACAGGGTGAGATGAACACATACCAGTAAGACAATTTCCAACAGATTGACATGCTTACAAACACATGAACAGACACGCAGACATTCAAGGCGAGGATTAAAGGCAGTTACACCGACGGACAAAGTGGACAAGGGAACAGGAAAGTGAGCCGGGGTTTGGAACCAGGAGCTAGGGTCACAGTAAGGGGTCAAGGTTAAGGGCAGAGCTTGGTGGAGTTGGTGATGGAAGGAGATGTCCATCCAGTGGAAGCAGGGCTGTATGGGGCGTTGCGGGGGACACCCCACCTAAAGTTTTGCTTTAAAATAGATAATTTTAAGTAAAAATGTGTCCTCCTCTTTCCCCCACCTTGAAACAGGGGTTTCCGATTTAATTATCCATTCAATAAAAGGTGGTACAATCAATAACCTATATATAACATCTATATTAATACTATACAATAATTTGCAGCCTACAATAATAGGGTTTTTCCCCTTTTTTCTGGCGACAAAACTGAAACCTTTTGCAAGGAATCATGTTTACGTTAACCACAGTACTTGCAGTCAGAATGCACCAGAGACAGCTTTCTCAAGAGCCAAGTCCCATACGGTGTTCAACCAGATGACGCCAAAAGGCGCACCCTATTATTATATTTTGGTACTGGCAAAGGAGGCCTCATGGTTTAAATTTACAGCCTTTCATCAATCCACTTCCGGATTGAATGCCTTTGTATCCCCTCCCTGCCCTACTGTTGCGTTGACGGCAATGCCCGATCAAAGCTTTTGAGCCACTAGCCGCATCTGCATCCATCACGTTGTGGTTGAGTAGGGGTCAGGTCGGGTCATGCTCAGGCAGGAAACAGGTCATCGTCAGGTTGGGCCAGGACAGGATATAGCATGGTTGCTCCAAGCAGTGGTGAACGCGTGTGCTCTACTCTGCTCCTCCTTCCATCTCTGGCTGGCCATGTACCCCGCAGCGCTGCAGGCCTGACCGTGATGGCCTATTTGGAGGTGAAGGGCCTCCCCGCCGTCCCTGCGGACTACAGAGTGGTGATGATGAAGCTTCAGAAGTACTTCCAGAGCAAGAAGCTGTCGGGTGGCGGGGAATGCGAAGAGCTGGCGCTGCTGCCCGGTGGCCGGGCACGACTTCGCTTCAAGCAGGAGGGCGGTGAGGCCCCGACATCGACCCCTGGGGGGGTTTTGACATGCGCCACGCCACGCGGCATCAGTGTCGGTGGACACAGATACTCGGATGATAACTATTGCACGTAAACGCTGTACATTAGTGTGTGTTCCTCCACACTAAAGAATGAAACAACACTTGTTTGACTCGCTGCTGTGTACACAGTGCTGGAGCGGGTGCTGAATGTGCAGAAGCACGTTCTGGAGATCAACCAGCAGCTGTGTGAGCTGGAGGTGAACATCCACTGCGATGAAGAAGGCCTCCAGGAGTCTCCTCGGGGAGCAGGAGGCACCACCCAAACTAAAGTCACCAGACACGACATGGTGGGCAGCTCACCTTCAGTCGCAGTGGATGTTCTTCGATAAAATGTACTCCACATTAGAGGCACGCATTTCCAACAGCGCACGAGTTTTTGTATTTTATCGTCTTGTCCCCCACCGTGATTCCTGGTTTTGGCACATAGTGGTGGCACACGCCGGTACACCAGGACAGTGGAGACGAGGGTTGGTGGATCAGACACGGGTCACGGAAATGTTAACTCGACCGGTTAAATCTATATGGGATAGAGCGTTGCCCCCTTGCAAGTGTGGGCTTTCTCTGGGTGCTCCAGTTTCCTCCCACATGTAACTCACATTCGTTGGCCGGCAACACCTTAATAGAGGTCTGCAGAGCTTGGGGCGAATTTGGCGACAGCTCACCACCTCGCTGCCTTTCTCGCTTTTTCCGCGGTCCCTTGCGCTTCTTCGGGAAGTGAGCACATACCGTGCGGATTACAAGGGGAAATTATTGTGCTATCGGCATCCTGTCATGATACGTGATGCTGATGAAACCCGGATTAAATAGACATAACTATCAGAGAACATTTGAAATAACTACAAGCTGTCTGATCAACACTCGGGGCAGTACTCTTCCACCCGTACGATTACATAGAGACACGTTCACTGCATTACATTTGAACCAATATTTGTAATTCTCGGAACTTAAATTTAGCCAAATTAAGCACAAAATCAAACACGAGTCTTGTGTTTGCGCAATTGCTGGTGACCAGGCTGAAACCATCAACAAACTACAGTTGAAAAGCCAATTTAGTGAGATTGAAAACCACGATCTCAGCAGTGGCAGCTCAGTGCTCAGACCTCTGAGCCACCCAGCCACATAGAGTAATGTGTCGTGGTCATGTTGTGCTTGTGTTGATGCATTCGTGTACATTTCTTCATAGGGAAGGCCCGATGCAACTCAATTGACTGACCAGCTGAACCGCGGTGAGTGAGTGAACCTGAAAATCTGGTTCGTATGCATAATATTTTGTAAAGACTGCGTTGTTAAAAATAGACCGAGAATGTTCACGATGGCGTATGTATTCATCCCCTTGTAAAAGGTTGTACAATAGAAAAATAAGTTTGTGTGTATAAATTCTTTTACAATGTATCACGAAAAAATGCAGACAGCTTTTATGTGGCTTTGAATGTTGCAATTGTTTCCACTTCCAATACTCAAAACAGGTGTGTGTGTGTGTGTGATAGGTCGTATGTTTGTGTCAGTCCTGCTGTTAAACTAACGAAGGTCAACTAAGACAGCTACTGTGCTGCCTTACTGTGCAGCATCACAGGGGGGAAAGACGAAGGATCCCGAGGGCAACCCGACCATTAAAGTCGACAAGGTGGACTTCCTGGAGTCGACCACTGTGGCGATGTACTTTGAAAGCGAGAGACGATCTGGAGGAGGAGAGGTCACAAACGTGGAAGAAACGGAACAGTCCTGGGTCATCACCTTCGCAGATCCAGCTGGTGACCCTTTAAGCTACTCTTATACTACTCCCGTATATATACGGGAGTAGTATTTCTTGTGATCTCTCATTTACTTGATACAGCTGTCGTGGCTGTGACGGTTCCACCTGAAGACGGAGGCTTGCGTTGCTTCCGAAACGTTGTGCATTTTTTAATTTGTTTTATTTTACTTTTATTAATTTACATTTGTTACCTACGTGACTTTACCGAAAAAACCTAAGAGTATGAATCCTTGCAGTCACGAAAGCTTCAAACCTACCCTTTAAGCTGTTGTCTGATATTACTCGGCCGCCTTACAGACCGCGGGTGTGGTGTACTCCACAATACAAACTACATTCCATGGTAAAAACATTTTTTTATACATACAGTAAATGTTCTCCCTGGGCCCAGCACGAACCTCCACTCGAGCAGCCATCTCCATACGACTCAACTGGGCAGAACATATTAAGGTGACTTGTGTAACAGGACGAAGCAATGAGGGCCTTTTGGCAACAGAGAAGTAAGGGTACCCGCAATAGGGCACCCAATTTTACATGACCCCCCCCCTTGCCACGGCTGGTTCCATGGGTACAGCCGCCCCTCCCACTGCGCTCGGACCTACGAGCCCCAATATCCGTTCCACACCTCTTTTTTACCTCCTCGTCGAACACCGCCGTCTGTACCGAACCTTCCACACACTCCGTGTGCTCCACCAACCTTCTGGGTCTTTCTCAAGAAGCGACAAAAGTCACCATGAGAAGGGCTATACAAATTCCAGTTGACGGGCAGAACGAGTAGAAGGGTGTGAGGTAGAAGGATGTAGTGGAATTAAAAATGAAGACGGTGGATGTGACCAGAGAAGATGCACGTCATCGAAGTGCACGAAAATCTGACCAGTTAAAATCAATAATGGGACTTGATTGAAAAAATTGAGCTATGCATTTTAGCATTTTAGTTCACACCCCTCGGGTATGCTTTTGCACATTCGTTCAGGTCGTGTTTGATGTGTTTTTGCGACACGTAACATTTCCCCACCACGTTGTTGTAATGATGGAGATGTATGTTGCTTTCTGATGTTGTTGCTGGTGGCTGTTTGAGCAGTGGCCGGGCGGGTCCTGTCACGCTCCAAGCACACGTTTGCCGAAAAGCTGCTGGTGTGCTCGGAGTTCGTGGAAAAGCCCCGAGTGGAGCACGTGGTCCAAGTGCTGGAGCCTGATCCACGCAGGGTGCTGCTGCGAGGCTTCGCGCAGCAGGTGGATAGCAACCTCCTCAACCTCTACGTGGAGACCTGCAGCGGCACCGACGACTTTTACATCAACTACACCGACGACGACTCCTGCAGAGTGGTATCGTTCTCCTCCGACACAGGTGACATTTCAACGCTATCACTCTGTGCGCTCCTCGTAAGCAACATAAGTTGCTTCTGCGCTGTTACACGTTGGTGTCACTATTGGCAGTATTCGCAAGCACAAGGCAGATTTGAAACACGGCAGGACTAACTTTTCCACCGTGGCTGATCACTGCTACAATGCTGTGGGCTCTCATGATATTGTTTTCTCCGAGACCAAAGTGCTCTGCAAGCCGTCTGGCTACCATCAAAGATTTGTTCATGAAGCCATCCAGATATACAAACATAGACATAACTCCAACCGAGAAGATGGATACAAATTGAGCAATTGGAAGGATGTTATTAACCAAGTTAAGCCTTAGCTGCTTTATAGTTTACTTTCATATCCGCATCTCCAGTTTCTTACTCCCAGCCCTGCTCACTCCCATCACTTGGAAATTTGCCGTGCATTGTTTCGAGCCTGCAGCTTTGCACTCTGACCCACGTTCCCCCGCACCCTCTCTCCTCATTTGGATCTTGATTGCCACTCTCCTCTGACCCACGCCCTGCTCCCACACTCCCCTTGGCTCCTCCCCCCTTCCTCAGCTATATAATCCCTTGTCACAATCAGCTCTTCTGTGGTTGTCACTTGTTTCTTGCTGTGGTTGTTACCACCTGATGACGGACGCTTGTGTTGTGCCCGAAACGTCGTGATTAAAAATGTTTTTACCTACGTGACTTTACCGAAAGAACCAAGAGTATGGATCCTTGTCTTTGTTGTGTATTTACACCATTTCATGTTGCCTCTCAGACACACAAGCCTTCATAGGCCGCTGTGGCACGAGGCCCTTATCCGGTATGAGTATCAAGGCGGAGCAGCTGCCGCTCACCAGCCGCGTGCTGCTGGAGGATCTGCCTGAGGGCGTGAGCAGGGACTACCTGGAGCTCTACCTGGAGAGCAGGAGTGGGCCTGCCGTCAAAGTGAAAGAGGTGGAGTTCAGGGCTGGATGCAGCGCGGTTGTCGTCCGTCTCCAGAGCAATGAGGGTGAGGTGGTGATGGGAAGAGGCTGCCCCTTGTTGGGATGTACATGCAGGGATAGCTTCACGTCTTCGTGACACAGCTAAAAACTAATTTACCTTGAGTTATTGCACCATTGTTCATAACGGAAGTGAGGACAGATTTTTTTTCTTCCGATTAAAGAATTTATATGAACATTTACCGGCATGTAAATTGACTCTCAATTGTATGGAACAGCTCATTGCACTTAACCGATCTGCTGCAAAACGTAATTTAAACACACTTTACGGTTTTAATGTTTACTGATATTTTACTTGCCGGAGGGCATCATCACCTCAATGGTAACTACATAACCAAACAGTACAAGCGCAATACACAGCACACCAGATATAGCACGGATTTGTTGTGTATTATTTATTTAATTAATTTTATCGTAGTGATTAGGATAAAGTAAATGTATGAAAACTAATTTTACTTCAATTACATGTTTTAAGAATAGCTGATATTGAATTGTACATTATCATTTGGTGATGCAGATGTTGAGAAAGTGTTGAAGAGCGAGCTGCGTTTGAAAGAGATGATCGTCACAGCACACCGCTATTACGAGGCGCATGGGTTGGCGCTGCTTTCCTGGGATGAAGGGAGCTTCAAGGCACCTGAGCCTCAGCACCTAAAAGTAGATCCCGTGCTGATGGAGTTCATTACAGCGCGACCAGAGCAATCTCAGCAGCTGCAAGAGTTTCTGAATAATCACATGGCCACCTTCAAGTGGCCAAGTGGGGCCACGCAGGACGTCATGAAGGTTTCACCTGCCTTTGCCGAAAGCCAAAAAGCCAATTTCATGCTGAAACGCAAATGGTCAAAATCCATCCCAAATAAGTTTACAATTTTTTTTGAAAGATATATGCATTACTCTGAAACCATCCATGCGAATGTATTTGATGAACTTGTGGCAAAGCTTTCTACAGGTCAGAAAAATTGTGTGCAGATTATACCGGACAAACAACAATCTAAGATAAGCATAATCGGTCAGAAAGTGGATGTAGAACATGTTGTTAAGGACCTTAAAAAAATAAAACAATTACGACGGGGGGAAGTGAATGTCAAACAAACACTTGTTCATTTGATGCCCAACTTTAAAAAGCGTTTGCAGAATGACTTTCCTGAAGTAGATTTTCACGTTAATGTCAAAAAGAGGTTGATCACCGTGGAAGGCCCAAAGGATGACTCCTTAGCAGCTGAGAGCAAAATCCTGCAAATGATGCTGCAGTGCAGTGAGAAGCCCTGGTTAATCTCTGAAGAACTTAAAGCCTTTGTGTTACAACTGAACCGTGATGCTTTCATAAAAAACACCTTCAGTCAAAATGGCATAGATGCATCCATCTCAGAAAGGGGAAATGACATCATGATTGTTGGTGCGAGTGAAGATGATCTGAGCAAAGCAGAGGATCTACTGAACATGACCTTTGTGGAGGTGAGGGTGAAGACAAGGAATGGGTTTGACATGAAGCAGAATGTCAATGAGTGGAAAGAATTCCAGGAAGAATTGAAAGCCTCTCAGGAATTGAGTGAAATCAGAAGTGACACAACGTTCCAGATGAATTGCATCAGTGGGAGTGAGATACTCGTCACTGGCTATAGAGACATTATCCAGCACGTTGCTCAACAAGTAGAGGGATTCATGGATCTTAATGTTACACTCAATTGTTTTATTCCTGTTCATTATACGGGTGTTCTGCAATACCTGGAGAAATTTGTGGATATAACTAGCATTCTGCCAAGAGGAACGACATTTAAAATAGACTACAAACAGAGAGGCTTTACCATTACCACAAAAAAAAAAGATGTAGATGGAGTTATAGAACTGATAGTAGATATTTCCCAAAGCATAACCTCCTGTGAGAGAACCATTCGAAAGCCAGGCACTGCCAAATCTCTGTATGCACGAGGTAAAATGTTGTTTGGGGTGTTGGAGTGGGAACATACGTGCATAATCCTCATCGATCAGCCCAGGGACCAACAGGAAGAAGAATCTCAGCAAAATGCAGCTCCTCAAACCTCCAGGCATGGAATAACTGGTAAGATGCAACGTAAACATACTACGCAGTATAATATATTGTCTATTTCTGAACTTAACTTAAACTACTTTAAAAAAGAAACAAATTCTGTTAAATGTGTATCTATTACCCAGAATGAGGTTGTATGCTTGTTAAAATTCATGATTGTCATTTCACAGGATGTGACGAGGCCCTGCAGTCATATTTCGTTGAGCGTGAACTGCAGCAGCAAGATGATTTCTCTGCCCTGGCAAACGATGGCGTGACGCCGTTGAGCATCCAGGTTTACTCAACCTCAGCCGAGACCAACAAAAAGGTCCTCGATGAAATCGAAGAAAAGCTCACCACCGAAGGATGCCCAAATACAATAGATGATAAAGCAATCGCAGAGTTTTTTCACACGGAGCGAGACGCAATACGTTCCCTCCAGGATAAATACCAAGTACGAATTATTTTCACTGCACAAGACAAGATCAGTGTCCAAGGCAGCGACAGCAGTGTGAGGCAAGCTTCGGCTGAGCTCTACGCCATGGTGAATGATGCAAAAGAACGGAGGAGAAACTTTGTGCAGGATGAACTGCTCGCGCACGAAATGCAGTTGATGTTCTTTCTCGATGACCACGGGCTGTCCAGGCCATCGCTTTAGAATTCAGGATTTTATCATTTCGCTGAAGAAACCAGGACTGAGGTTTCCGTGGGAGAGCAGACAGCTCGAGGGTTTCGTCAATATCGCTGAACACGTTGAGAAAACCAAGTGTGAGAAAACCAAGTGTGGAAAAACTCACCCCATGATAAAAAAAAGGTGGCCCCTAGTAAGTGACCACCAGTGAGGGCCGTGTATGTCTAAGGGAGTGCAGTAGAGAGGGCTTACACAGAGGGCCCTTGTATTCTACATTTTCCCATATATTTTCCAAAAGGATATCTCGGAGGTAATGCACCCCAGTAATTTTTAACCTGGCTATAACGTTCATAACAATGGCATTTAATGCTGTAAATAACTTTTGCAAGAAAGTCTTTGGTTGTAGATCCTTTAACAATCTTAACTGGTACACATTTTAGGCAAGTTTTTTAACTAATTATTTCGCAAGACTCCAAAAATGTCAGTGACATTTTGTCTGTAGTCCCCCGCCTCCCAAACGAGGCTCTCGTCAACCTCACACTCTGCCCCTGAAGACGAAGGCCTGAAATGCGACGGAAATTCGACTGGTTGGCATCTGTGGTGTGTGGCAGTTTGAGTCTGCTGCCAAGTAATCGAAGACAGCAGCAAACCTCAAGCAAACAAACGTGCCCTTTATTGTAAATATGGTATGTTAACACAAGTGATTCTAGCGAAACCCTATTAAGGCTGGTATGACACATAAGATGGTTAGTATCGCACACATCAGGCACACAAGATAATGATGCCTAATAGAGCTGTATCTGTATGACTGGGTTGTCAGGTGCTGACAGCAATAGCTCATTGTGGGGGATATGTGGGTATAGCACTCTACAGCAGGTTTCTTTCGCCTCAACGGTGCTGTTTATACACTTGTGGTTGAACATAAACCGGCCAAAGGGCCGCAGGAGTCGTTGTCAGCGTTGAAGACGCAAAGGCTCATCAGAGGGCCGGGCTAGCAGCACGCAGGGCCAGGAGCAAGGATTGATCGTGGAGATGAGTGAAGGGGCCACATGAATGGCCAGGAGATTCGAAGGGAAAGGATGCCAGAAAGAAACGGATAGGGGTGGAGAAGGGGATTGGTGAAAGTGGGAACTTAAACTAAACTATAAACTAACATTTTTGATTTTACCCGGTAAGGCCCACTGAGCTATTTAGTTGTTTTTCAGAAGCGACCTGGCCACAAATGATAGCTCAATGAAGTGGCTTATGTGGAAATGTATAGCAGCCAAATATGGAGTCTAAACTTCAGCGGAGGTGAGAGATTCTAGAATCTAGATGGTTCGAGAGGGAGAAGAGGATTATATGATGCGAGCATGGGGCTCTTGTGGGGATGATGTATATATGTATGTTGAACTTTCACACCGTACGTAGCCAACCGTGCTAATTGCACGTAGTGTTAAAGACTGGAACAATAAAGTACCTCTTAATGAAAAAAAAACCGTGTGGACCTCCACGCACTTCATCATGCACTCAAACAGGACCCTGCGGGGTGGGCTGGTAGGAATAATACTTAGTACCGGTACAGGGATATCGACCGGGTATAGAGGAGTTAAAGGAAAATTACTGTATTCTAGTGTAACGTTAATTAAAAGTGTTTGTTTTGACAAGAAACGCTGTGAGATTTAAAGACTCGTAGTCTTTCATTTCCAAACGATCACATCTGAGATTAATTGACCTTAGATGGGGAAACTCGAATGCATTTACTAGTATAAAGCCTGCCGCACTAGGCCTCGCGAAGCCTGCTGCACTAGGCCTCGCGAAGCCTTCTCTGCAGTAGACTTAGCGAAGCCTTCTGCACTAGGCCTCGCGAAGCCTCTGCAGTAGGCCTCGCGAAGCCGCGCTTTGCGTGCACAAATAAGGCGATTAAATGTATCTCGTCTCTGTGTTAATAAGCCTCCCGCACTAGGCCTCGCGAAGCCTGCCGCACTAGGCCTCGCGAAGCCTACTGCACTAGGCCTCGCGAAGCCTTCTCTGCAGTAGACTTAGGGAAGCCTTCTGCACTAGGCCTCGCGAAGCCTCTGCAGTAGGCCTCGCGAAGCCGCGCTTTTCATGCACAAATAAGGCGATTAAATGTATCTCGTCTCTGTGTTAATAAGCTTGCCGCACTAGGCCTCGCGAAGCCTGCCGCACTAGGCCTCGCGAAGCCTGCCGCACTAGGCCTCGCGAAGCCTTCTGTGCAGTAGACTTAGCGAAGCCTTCTGCACTAGGCCTCGCGAAGCCTCTGCAGTAGGCCTCGCGAAGCCGCGCTTTTCGTGCACAAATAAGGCGATTAAATGTATCTCGTCTCTGTGTTAATAAGCCTGCCGCACTAGGCCTCGCGAAGCCTGCCGCACTAGGCCTCGCGAAGCCTGCTGTACTAGGCCTCGCGAAGCCTTCTCTGCAGTAGACTTAGCGAAGCCTTCTGCACTAGGCCTCGCGAAGCCTCTGCAGTAGGCCTCGCGAAGCCGCACTTTTCGTGCACAAATAAGGCGATTAAATGTATCTCGTCTCTGTGTTAATAAGCCTCCCGCACTAGGCCTCGCGAAGCCTGCCGCACTAGGCCTCGCGAAGCCTGCCGCACTAGGCCTCGCGAAGCCTTCTGTGCAGTAGACTTAGCGAAGCCTTCTGCACTAGGCCTCGCGAAGCCTCTGCAGTAGGCCTCGCGAAGCCGCGCTTTTCGTGCACAAATAAGGCGATTAAATGTATCTCGTCTCTGTGTTAATAAGCCTGCCGCACTAGGCCTCGCGAAGCCTGCCGCACTAGGCCTCGCGAAGCCTGCTGTACTAGGCCTCGCGAAGCCTTCTCTGCAGTAGACTTAGCGAAGCCTTCTGCACTAGGCCTCGCGAAGCCTCTGCAGTAGGCCTCGCGAAGCCGCACTTTTCGTGCACAAATAAGGCGATTAAATGTATCTCGTCTCTGTGTTAATAAGCCTCCCGCACTAGGCCTCGCGAAGCCTGCCGCACTAGGCCTCGCGAAGCCTACTGCACTAGGCCTCGCGAAGCCTTCTCTGCAGTAGACTTAGCGAAGCCTTCTGCACTAGGCCTCGCGAAGCCTCTGCAGTAGGCCTCGCGAAGCCGTGCTTTTCGTGCACAAATAAGGCGATTAAATGTATCTCGTCTCTGTGTTAATAAGCCTGCCGCACTAGGCCTCGCGAAGCCTGCCGCACTAGGCCTCGCGCCGTGCTTTTCGTGCACAAATAAGGCGATTAAATGTATCTTGTCTCTGTGTTAATAAATGTATCTTGTCTCTGTGTTAAAAAACGTGCTGCGTTTCAGTAAAGTAATAAAAAAAAAACGTGCTGCGTTTCAGTAAAGTAATTTTGAAGCGAAGTTTAAAGTTTCGCCGTGAGGCGGCGGAAGCGACGGCCATCTTGTTTAGTTCACAGATCGCAGGGGGAGCGGGCGGCCATCTTGTCGGACAGACGGACGGACGGACACATTAATCTATTGGTGGTCTGGTCCACTTCATTCCTACCAGTATTAAGGTTGAGTTAATCTAACGGATATCCAGGACAAGTTCTGAAACTGCCTGCTAATTGAACTGGTTGACTCATTGGCACTTGATAAGTGTTTTATACACGTGTATGTATGTATGTTGAACCTCTTTCGCACGGTACATAGCCAACCGTGCTAATTGGAGGTACGACACCAAACTATTAACGCACACAACAACTTATCTGGCAATTACTCTGTGGCGTGGACTGCCATCTTTAGATGCTGAGAGTCCACAAACAACGCCTCTCACTGTGTAACTGTGGAAAACAAGACAGCAACCACTTGATATCGACCAAGCACAACGACAAAGACGAAAGAGCTTGGGGCAATGTCTAATTCTGATGAAGTATGTATTTGAGTGTCATCCGCATATAAATTGTATTTTATACCGTACCACTGAATGACCTAACCGAGTAGTATACAGATGAAAAACCATGCTCTTGAGTACTGAACAACTCAAACATGACGGGACCAGATTTAGAAATGGATGGGCTAAAGGCCAGTGTCCTCCGGCCTGTACATTTTTTGTTACCTTAGCCACAGAAGTGTCATGCCGGTCACCCCAACAGCAGATTCAATGCGGTGTAAAAAGACTCCGTAATCGATAGTGTCAAACGCTGCACCAGTCAGCAGCCGTAATTCGTCGCGAGGATTCACAGGCAAGCGGGAAGTGGTAGCAGCCAGGAGGTAAATCTTTGCAAAATTCCGTCCTGAGCTCAGTGGTCCTATAATTGTCGAGGTGTTTTTTTACCAATTCGTATTTACATGTGTAGGCGAAAACCAACACGTGCGAGGGAGAAATACTCTATTCCATACAGATGAAACAGCAGGGAGTGCAATATTACTGTCCTGCCGTCGCCTGGCCAGCCAGGCTATGGCACCTTGATATAGCACTCCGATCGTTGTTTTGTATTGTTGTAACTTTCTGACCCGCCCCTATTGGACATCTGTGAAAAATAGCTTCATAGCTCCTCGGATTTCTCTCGGCGAAATAAAGATTCTGATTCTGTCACTCTGCAATCTTTCTTGTCAATCACGAGCAGCAGAGCAGCAGAGCATCCCTGCGTAATGAAAACATTGCCATGGGGCTGCTGCCGCATGCACCACACCTTGATTCCAGGACGGCCACTGATATCCCTCCCATCAATCCACTTCACACACGTTCTTGTGATCCCCTTCATTATTCTGTGCCTCATGCTTCACCTCTCTCGCTCATGGCCCTTCAGCTGTTCAAGAGTTGTATAATAATCATTTCGATGCTCAAGATACCCGTCTGTTCCAATGATCCTCCAGCTCTGCCTCACGATTGTTCTATTTCCCTTCCAGCTTCTCAAGATACTCCTCAGGGCCCTCCACATAACCCTCTTCCTCATCTTCCTGGCAGAGCTGTCGCTGGAACCACTGGTTAGGGAGATCTAAATAAAAAAAAACTATCACAACTAAACGTTTTAAATGTTACCAGGTAAAGCCAACTGAGCTATATATATCAGTTTTTCAGAAGCGACCTGGCCACAAATGATAGCTCAATGAAGTTGATTTTGTGGAAATCTCAAGCAGCATAATACTCTAAACGAGTGAAGTTGATTCTAAATGTGCAGGGAAAATCCGGTGGACCCGGAGGAAGAAAAAAAGAAGTAATATTTAAATTTTTTTTTTTAAAAACACGCTTTAATGAAATGTACCCTACTCGTAATGGCAGAACTCCACGACTCCAGGACGTGGCCCCAAAGCTTGCCATAACGTAAGGGGCCATGGTGATTGACATCCAACGTCATTTGAGCGTGGACAATAAGACCCAAGCCGAAACATAACATATAAAAATGAATGTTTATACATTTTTATTTTTTATAATAGAATATAGTATTGTCATCAGTATGACCGAGTTTTCAGTCGATACCACATTGGGAAGTGGGTTAAAATTGAGTTACAAGATTTGAGGATACGACAGCAACAACAGTGAGTTAAATAAAAGCGTGTAAAAATAAAAACCACGCGGCAATGGGGAGAGAGAGACATGGAAACTCCAAATAAACAGCAGCAGTAGTATCAGCAGCAGCAGACGCCATTCACCACTAATATAAACTAACCGATAAACTTTATATTTTATTTGAGCTGTACAGACAGCTCTGTTTCAGAAGTGCCTCGGCCACATGATAGCCCAACGAAGTGGCTTATCATATGCACATTTATAGCAGCCAAATACTCTCAATGCACATTTATAGCAGCCAAATACTCTCAATGCACATTTATAGCAGCCAAATACTCTCAATGCACATTTATAGCAGCCAAATACTCTCAATGCACATTTATAGCAGCCAAATACTCTCAATGCACATTTATAGCAGCCAAATACTCTCAATGCACATTTATAGCAGCCAAATACTCTCAATGCACATTTATAGCAGCCAAATACTCTCAATGCACATTTATAGCAGCCAAATACTCTCAATGCACATTTATAGCAGCCAAATACTCTCAATGCACATTTATAGCAGCCAAATACTCTCAATGCACATTACATTTATAGCAGCCAAATACTCTCAATGCACATTTTATCAGCCAAATACTCTCATGCACATTTATAGCGCCAATACTCTCAATGCACATTTATAGCAGCCAAATACTCTCATGCACATTTAAGCAGCCAATACTCTCAATGCACTTTATACAGCCAAATACTCTCAATGCACATTTATAGCAGCCAAATACTCTCAATGCACATTTATAGCAGCCAAATACTCTCAATGCACATTTCTAAATGTGGAGGGGGAAAACCGGATGCCCTGAGGAAAAAACCACGCGATCAAGGAGAGAGAGACACGCAAACTACAAATAGACAGCAGCAGCAGGCGTTGTCAGGGTCGGAATAGAACCAACCTCCTGTGTACCCAGCGAGGTAGTTGACATATCCTAGCCACTATGATGAGAGACACTCGGGATAGAACCCACAATCTCCTGCCTACCAGACGAGGTAGTTGACATCTCCTAGCCACTGTGATGATAATGAGAGACACTCGGGATATAACCCACGACCTCCTGCCTACCAGGCGAGGTAGTTGACATCTCCTAGCCACTGTGATAATGAGAGACACTCGGGATAGAACCCACGACCTCCTGCCTACCAGGCGAGGTAGTTGACATCTCCTAGCCACTGTGATAATGAGAGACACTCGGGATAGAACCCACGACCTCCTGCCTACCAGGCGAGGTAGTTGACATCTCCGAGCCACTGTGATAATGAGAGACACTCGGGATAGAACCCACGACCTCCTGCCTACCAGCGAGGTAGTTGACATCTCCGAGCCACTGTGATAATGAGAGACACTCGGGATAGAACCCACGACCTCCTGCCTACCAGGCGAGGTAGTTGACATCTCCGAGCCGCCGCTGTAGGCGGCGGCTCGCGTGACTGCTGCCTGCAAGTTCGCGGCTCCTCCTCACCCCCATCCCTCATCCCCCACCCCTCATCCCCCCCCCTCATCATCCCCCCCCTCATCATCCCCCCTCATCACCCCCCTCATCATCCCCCCCCTCACATCCCTCACCCCTCATACATCCCCCCCCCTCATCACCCCCCTCATCACCCCCCAGCACCCCCCTCATCAACCCCCCCCCCCCCTCACATCCCCCCTCATCACCTCCCCCTCATCACCCCCCCTCACCCCCCCCCCTCATCATCCCCCCCCTCATCATCCCCCCTCATCACCCCCCTCACCCCCCCCCTCATCATCCCCCCTCATCACCCCCCCTCATCACCCCCCCTCACACCCCCCCCTCAAGCATCCCCCCCTCATCACCCCCCCCTCATCACCCCCCCCCTCATCACCCCCCCCCTCATCATCCCCCTCCCCCTCATCCCCCCCCCCATCATCCCCTCCCCCTCATCACCCCCCCCCATCATCACCCCCCCTCATCACCCCCCCTCATCATCCCCTCCCCCTCATCCCCCCCCCATCATCCCCCCCCCTCATCACCCCCCCCTCATCATCCCCCTCCCCCTCATCCCCCCCCATCATCCCCCCCCCTCATCACCCCCCCTCATCATCCCCCCCTCATCATCCCCCCCCCTCATCACCCCCCCTCACCCCCCTCTCATCCCCCCCCCTCTCATCCCCCCCCTCTCATCCCCCCTCATCACCCCCCTCTCATCCCCCCCTCATCACCCCCTCATCACCCCCCTCTCATCCCCCCCCCCTCATCATCCCCCCTCTCACCCCCCCTCACCCCCCCCCTCATCATCCCCCCCCTCATCATCCCCCCTCATCACCCCCCCCATCACCCCCCCTCACCCCCCCCCCATCATCCCCCCCCTCTCATCCCCCCTCATCACCCCCCCTCCACCCCCCCCCCCTCATCACCCCCCTCATCACCCCCCCTCATCCCCCCCCTCATCACCCCCCCCCCTCATCCCCCCCTCATCACCCCCCCTCACCCCCCCCCCTCATCACCCCCCCCTCATCACCCCCCTCATCACCCCCCCCTCCCCCCCCTCTCATCCCCCCCCCCCTCATCACCCCCCTCATCACCCCCCCACCCCCCCCCCTCATCATCCCCCCCTCATCACCCCCCCCCTCATCACCCCCCCCCCCCCCCCTCTCACCATCCCCCCCCCCCCTCATCCCCCCCCCCTCATCCCCCCCCCCCCCCTCACCCCCCCCCATCACCCCCCCCCTCATCACCCCCCCCCTCATCATCCCCCCCTCTCATCCCCCCCCCCTCATCCCCCCCCTCATCCCCCCCCCTCATCACCCCCCCCCCCTCATCACCCCCCCCCCTCATCCCCCCCTCATCCCCCCCCTCATCACCCCCCTCTCATCCCCCCCCCCCCCCATCCATCCCCCCCCTCATCCCCCCTCCCCCTCACCCCCCCCCCATCATCCCCCCCCTCATCATCCCCCCCTCCTCACCCCCCCTCATCCCCCCCCCCATCTCCCCCCCCTCATCACCCCCCCCCTCACCCCCCCTCATCATCCCCCCCCCCTCATCCCCCCCATCATCCCCCCCCCCTCATCCCCCCCCCTCATCACCCCCCTCATCACAACCCCCTCATCTACCCCTCCCCCTCATCCCCCCCCCTCATCATCCCCCTTCCCCCTCATCCCCCCCCCCCCATCTCCCCCCCTCATCACCCCCCTCCTCACACCCCCTCATCCTCCCCCTCCTCATCCCCCCCTCCTCATCCCCTCCCCCTCATCCCCCCCCTCATCACTCCCCTCCCCCTCATCTCCCCCCCCCATCATCCCCCCCCTCATCACCCCCCTCCTCACCACCCCCTCATCATCCCCCTCCCCCTCATCCCCCCCCTCATCATCCCCCTCACCCTCATCCCCCCCCCATCATCCCCCCCCTCATCACCCCCCCTCTCACCACCCCTCATCATCCCCCTCCCCCTCATCCCCCCCCCTCATCATCCCCCCTCCCCCTCATCCCCCCCCCCATCATCCCCCCCATCATCACCCCCCCTCCTCACCACCCCCTCATCATCCCCCTCCCCCTCATCCCCCCCTCATCATCCCCTCCCCCTCATCCCCCCCCATCATCCCCCCCCTCATCACCACCCCTCCTCACCACCCCCCTCATCATCCCCCTCCCCCTCATCCCCCCCCTCATCACCCCCCCCCCTCATCCCCCCCTCATCATCCCTCCCCCCCTCACCCCCCCCTCTCCCCCTCCTCCTCCGAGCCCCCCCCCCCCCCCCGGGCGTGCTGCTGGTTGCCGCCTTGGTTCGGGGGTTCGGGGGTTCGAGCGCCGAAGCGGGCGGCGTGCGGAGTGCGCGCCAGGGGCCTCGCCACGCCGAGGGGCGGAGGATGAGGAAGCGGGGATTTCCAGCGATGACGAAACCGAAACCACTGCCTACTCTTCCTGCTTCTCTTCTCGTCCGAGCGACGTCGCCGGTCTCGTCGTGCCGGTGGGGGTGGTGGTGGGGGTCGGTCGGTCGGCCTGCGGTTGCCGCAACTTGTTGCAGTGGCGAGGAGGAGGGCGGCAGAGCGGTCCACGGGGGCAGACGCGCGGAGCCTGGTGGTGCTGGGGGTGAGCGTGGTGGGTGGACGCGGACACACGGGGAAGGTAGAGGGTAGAGGGGGACACGGGGACACACAGAGACAGAACCACAGACGGAGACACACAGAAACAGAGAGACACATCAAGAGACAGAAAACAACACAGACGGACACGGAAACCAGACTTCATGAAAAGTTGGATGTAGGGACAGACGGAAACACGGACACGCAAATAGACACGAAGAGACAGACGGACACACGGTAATTACAGGCAGACGGACACACGGTAATTACAGGCAGACGGACACACGGTAATTAGAGGCTCGCAGACAAGACGGAAGCGCAAGGCGCAGACGCAACACTACGGGCAGACAGCTTCACAAACACGGAAATCGCGAGAGAGATGCGCAGTGGAGCTCAGAGGCGACGGGCTACAGACACAGACATATCGACACAGAGGCAGACGCAGAGGAGTACGGGGTGTTGAAGGCGGTCACACAGCAGCACGAGGTTGTTGTTGTTGTGCAGAGTGGACGAGAGCCGGGCGGGTGGAGAGAGAGGAGAGATTGGGGAATGGAGACTGTAGGGGCTGGAGGAGTCGCCGTGGTTTTATTCGGTTTGTGTGAGGAAAGGTTTGGTGAAGGTTTGTGTGAGGAAAGGTTTGGTGAAGGTTTGTGTGAGGAATGGTTTGGTGAAGGTTTGTGTCAGGAATGGTCTGGTGATGTTGGTGTCAGGAATGGTCCGGTGAAGGTTCGTGTCAGGAAAGGTTCAGTGAAGGTTCGTGTCAGGAAAGTTTTGGTGAGGTTTGTGTCAGCAAAGGTCTGGTGAAGGTTTATGTGAGGAAAGGTCCTGTGACGTTTGTGTCAGGCTAAGCCAAGTGGAGACTCGGTGCACACACACACACATCGTGGCCGGGTTCTGTGAGAACCAGGTTTGGGTTATATCTGTTGACGAGGCGAGGTGGTGTTCGGGCAGGGGTCAGGTCGGTGCCGGTGAGGCCAGATTAGCTTAGTCTGGGCGGGGTTAAAATCACGTTTGGTCAGGTCACGGTCTGGTCAGGACAGGGTACAGCAATGCCCTTCATTGCAAGGCCCGCGGGTCACTGGCGGCCCCTGGAGGTGGCCTTTAGTGCGCACACAGAGAGAATTGTATTGTATTATGTTTTATTTGTATTGTTTTATTATTTCCCTTCTACGTGATTTTACCGAAAGAACCAAAAAGAAGAATACACACAGAGTGAAAAACCCCTTGGAAGCGGTGTGGCGGCACTCACACTGATGTCGTATTATCGGCAAATGTGGCTCCCCTGCCTCTGAAAAATGAGTTAAAGAACACCAGGATACAATAGCAGGGGTCTCTCCGAGCTGTAGTAATCATTGCGCTCTGCTCTGCCCTGCTCCCTCTTCCCTCTCTGGCTGTCCCTCTAACCCCCGCAGTGCTGCAGGCCTGACCGTGATGGCCTATTTGGAGGTGAAGGGCCTCCCCGCCGTCCCTGCGGACGACAGAGTGGTGATGATGAAGCTTCAGAAGTACTTCCAGAGCAAGAAGCTGTCAGGTGGCGGGGAATGCGAAGAGCTGGCGCTGCTGCCCGGTGGCCGGGCACGACTTCTCTTCAAGCAGGAGGGCGGTGAGGCCCCGACATCGACCCCTGACACGTGCCACGCCAGGGGGGACATTCAGTGGACGAGTGGCATCCCTCGTCAACCCACACGGTTTATACCCCGTATTCTTGTGCAGGGAAATTGAGTTTGCAAGTCCATGAGACGATCCTGGTCTCTTGATTTATTATCTGGTTAAACTACATTAACTTGAAACCTGAACACCACGTAAATTACACAAACACTGTAATTTGTGTGTTCGTCCAAATTAAAGAATGCCACAATACTTGTTTGACTCGCTGCCGTGTGCGCAGTGCTGGAGCGGGTGCTGAATGTGCAGAAGCACGTCCTGGAGATCAACCATCAGCAGTGTGAGCTGGAGGTGTCTCGCTCCGATGGAGAAGTCAAGGAGTCTCCTCTGAGAGTAGGAGGCACCACACCGACGAGAGTCACCGGACGCGACACGGTGGGCAGCTCAGCGTCAGTGGCAATGAATAAATGTTCTTCAAAATATTTACCGCACACCAGAGGCGTGCGTTTCCAACAATGTATTGGCGATATGTCATTGTCTTTTTGTCAAAATAATTCGCCTTTTCACCATTTGTGTTCTGATTGGTGTCAAGTCGTGAGACATAGTCTAGTTGGTTCTATCGCAAGAGCAGTGTGCCACCTTGTGTCGAAGAATGGTCTGCAAAAGGAGATGTCACAAAATGCCTTCTAAAGTATCTTCCACTGACCTTATCCATATTAGGGGGTAGTACCTTGCCATCTGCCCTGCTACAGAACTACATGTTTGTCAAATTGCAATTGAACACATTTTGAATTGTCAAGAGCTGGAAGTTTGCCAAATTAAGCACAATCTAATTTCATTATGTTTTTTTGGTCCAATCATAGGTGACCAGGCACACGACACATGATAATCCAGTTTCATCACAGAAAAACTTGAACCCAGAATCTCATCGAGTAGTGTGCCATGGTCATGTTGTGCTTGTGTCAATGCACTCGTGTACATTTCTTGATAGGGAAGGCCCGATGGAACTCTTGGACAAAGTCCTGCCAAGACAGTGACTGCAGCGCTGCCAGTCGGTGAGTTTACCAGAAAAGTGTGTTAGTCTGCACGCGTGACATATTTTGTCGTAGTACATTATTTAATAAGCCCATGACATTTTAATTGTGATGTATATATTCATCCACTTGATAAACACTTGTGATGTTTTTATTGTAAAAAAAAAGTTACACTAAAGTCAATTGTCATTTATTTGCTTATAAAGTGGATTTAAATGTTTAATTTAACTTAAATATCAATATCTGCCTGAGAGCAGGTGTAATGTTACGTGGATGGGTCACTCCTGCTGTTACCTCATACAGATCAATTAAAATGGCTGATGTGATGCCCCATTGTGCAGCATCACAGGGGGGAAAGGAAGAGGATCCTGAGGGTAACCCGACCATTAGAGTCGACAAGGTGGACTCCCTGGACTCGACCACTGTGGCTCTGTACTTTGAAAACGAGCAACGATCTGGAGGAGGAGAGGTCACAAAGGTGGAGGAGAGGGAACAGTACTGGATCATTACTTTTGCAGATCCAGCAGGTAACCTTTGAAACTGTTTTACAATAGCACTGGGCTGCATTTCACATTGTGGGTGTGGTGTTTTACACAATAATGCAACTAAGTTCCAAGATTTTAAAAAGACCTGAAAAACGGTAAATATGTTCAGTCATTTTCCACCCTGGGTGATATATATAGATGATGTAGGAGTCTTGGGGTAGTTTACATTTGAAGAGCTCTTCTGAGCTAAACAGCAATAGAAAATAATCTTGGCACATGCTTTTAATGTTGCAAAGCCATATGTAATCGGGTGAGCAATGAATTGGCTGTGTTATCTGCCAAGCTTTGCATCGAATTGCATGCTTAATGATGTCCTAGCTGGTTTTAGTTTGTGCATCCTCCTACATGTCACAGTTGCCCGACACTTTATTGTCATGGCGGAGTTTAATGGTGCTGATTTTGTTGTTCCTGGTGGCTGAGCAGTTGCTGGGCGAGTCCTGTCACGCCCCAAACACACGTTTTCCGAAAAGCCGCTGGTGTGCTCGGAGTTTGTGGAGAAGCCCCGAGTGGAGCACGTGGTCCAAGTGCTGGAGCCTGATCCACGCAGGGTGCTGCTGCGAGGCTTAGCGCAGCATGCGGATAGCAGCCTCCTCAACCTCTACGTGGAGACCTGCAGTGGCACCGATCACTTTTGCATCAACTATACCGACGATGACTCATGCAGAGTGGTATCGTTCTCCTCCGACACAGGTGAGATTTCAGTGTTATTACTTGGCGTGTGTGCATTCATAAGCCACACCGGTGAGGTTCTGCACCGTTACAAATTGGTAAGCGACAAACCGTGCTGGTTAGTGGACCATTTTTTTTACCACAAGTTATCTCTGTGCAGATGGTGTGCTGTGTGGTGTTTATCATTCTTTTGTGAACTTTTGTATTCTGGGGATTAGATCAATATTTAATTTTGCAACTGATTTATGTTGTGCATATCATCTTGAGAAGCAGTTACATTTAAACCTTTTGCAATGTAAATCCAAATTTTATTCGTGGAGACTATTTTAGTTTTTTAAATGCTGTAATTTTAACAAAATTACTGGTCACTTCACAGACACACAAGCCGTCATAGGCCGCTGTGGCATGAAGCCCTTATCCGGTATGAGTATCAAGGCGGAGCAGCTGCCGCTCACCAGCAGCATGCTGCTGGAGGATCTGCCTGAGGGCGTGAGCAGGGACTACCTGGAGCTCTACCTGGAGAGCAGGAGTGGGCCTGCCGTCAAAGTGAAAGAGGTGGAGTTCAGGGCTGGATGCAGCGCGGCTGTCGTCCGTCTCCAGAGCAATGAGGGTGAGGTGGTGATGGGAAGAGGCTCTCCATTGTTGAGATGTATATAGAGGGGAGGGTTGGCCAGACTGCCACTCTGGAGCCGGCTCCGAGTCCTCGGTGCCGGAGCAGAGTTTACCAATTTTCTACATTAGGCTGTGGTGCCGGAGTTGATCTTCCGAATCAGCTCAATTATTTCCTGCCTCCACTTCTTCCGAGGATTTGTCTCACGAGGTGGGGTCCGCTTGCTCGGTGGGATCCTCTTTTTGAGTCCTCTTTCTCCACGGTCTTCAATCTCCACAGTAGTTTTGCATGCTCTAGTGTTCTTTCTTACGTAATTTTACGACTTTCTGGTGACATTTCCGAACCATCTCCAGCTCTTCTCACTCACCTTCTCCTCTCTCGACGCTACTTTCGCTTATCATCCCACTTCTGCGTTTCTTACGTGATCCCTTCTACTTACTCTAAAAATCCATCTCGGCATTCCCATCTCTGTCCCTGGCCTAATAATCATCCTATACACTTCATTTTGGTACATTGGCTTTTTTATTCCAAATGTTTTCATAAATGTACGTTATTTTGAACAAAACTGCTAATACATCATTCCTCTTTGGTATTACAGATGTTGAGAAAGTGTTGAAGAGCGAGCTGCGTTTGAAAGAGATGATCGTCACAGCACACCGCTATTACGAGGCGCATGGGTTGGCGCTGCTTTCCTGGGATGAAGGGAGCTTCAAGGCACCTGAGCCTCAGCGCCTAAAAGTAGATCCCGTGCTGATGGAGTTCATTACAGCGCGACCAGAGCAATCTCAGCAGCTGCAAGAGTTTCTAAATAATCACATGGCCACCTTCAAGTGGCCAAGTGGGGCCACGCAGGACGTCATGAAGGTTTCACCTGCCTTTGCCGAAAGCCAAAAAGCCAATTTCATGCTGAAAAGCAAATGGTCAAAATCCATCTCCAATGACTTTACTAATTTTTTTGAAAGTTATATGCATTACTCTGAAACCATCCATGCGAATGTATTTGATGAACTTGTGGCAAAGCTTTCTACAGGTCAGAAAAATTGTGTGCAGATTATACCGGACAAACAACAATCTAAGATAAGCATAATCGGTCAGAAAGTGGATGTAGAACATGTTGTTAAGGACCTTAAAAAAATAAAACAATTACGACGGGGGGAAGTGAATGTCAAACAAACACTTGTTCATTTGATGCCCAACTTTAAAAAGCGTTTGCAGAATGACTTTCCTGAAGTAGATTTTCACGTTAATGTCAAAAAGAGGTTGATCACCGTGGAAGGCCCAAAGGATGACTCCTTAGCAGCTGAGAGCAAAATCCTGCAAATGATGCTGCAGTGCAGTGAGAAGCCCTGGTTAATCTCTGAAGAACTTAAAGCCTTTGTGTTACAGCTGAACCGTGATGCTTTCATAAAAAATACCTTCAGCCAAAATGGCGTAGATGCATCCATCTCAGAAAGGGGAAATGACATCATGATTGTTGGTGCGAGTGAAGATGATCTGAGCAAAGCAGAGGATCTTCTGAACATGACCTTTGTGGAGGTGAAAGTGAAGGCAATGAAAGGGTTTGACATGAAGCAGAATGTAAAGGAGTGGGAAGAATTCCAGAAAGAGCTGACAGCATCTCAAGAATGTAGTGAAATCGAAACTGACGCCAAGTTCCAAATGAAGTGGACCAGTGGGAGTGAGGTACTCATAACTGGCTATAAAGATGTTATCCAGCGTGTTGCTAAACAAGTAGAAGAGTTAATGGACATGAATGCAGCACTTGAATTTTTTATTGCCATAAAATCTAAGGGAGTCCTACAATACCTCAAAACACATGGGGACATGGAAAGCATGCTGCCAAATGGCACTAAAATAGAACTAGACAATGATAGAAATGGCTTTACAATCGCCACACAAACAAAACACAAAGATGGAATTATAGAACTGATAGGAGACATGTCCAAAAACATCAAGTGTCAAGAGAGGACCATTCAAAAGCCAGGTTGTGCCAGCTTTTTGCACGGGCGAGGCAAACTTTTTTTGGGAGTGTTGGAGTCGACAGAGAAGTGCATAATCCTCCTCAACCAGCCGCGAGATCACGAGGACACGGCACCTCAGAAAAACGCCAAGGCTCATGTGGTTTGTGAAACCTCCTTGTGCGGAATAACGGTGTCGGTACTGAAGGGACACCTACAGTATCACCCTGTAGATGTGGTGGTCAATGCTGCCAATGGGGACTTGCGGCATGTCGGTGGGCTGGCAAAGGACCTGCTGAAAGCAGGTGGGCAAGACCTTCAGGATGAAAGCAACAGGAAGGTGAGGCTTAATGATGGTCCTTTCCAGGAAGGTCAGGCAGTGATGACGGGACCAGGGAGCCTGCCGTGCAGGGCCGTGATTCATGCCATTGGCCCTCGATGGGATGCCTCTCGGTCTCGTAATAAAAAGGCGCTGCTGAAGGAAGCTGTGGAGCTTAGTCTCTTGCTTGCAGCGCAAAATAACTTTACATCTATTGCCATACCGGCCATAAGTTCTGGAATCTTTGGATTCCCTTTGCCCCTGTGCTGTAGCACAATCATGTCGGCTGTTCGAGATTTTTGTGAAGATCCTGCACATCGCCCGACCTCCCTCGTGTCCATCCAGCTGATTAACAATGACAGTGTCACAGTGGATCAAATGCAGCTGGCCTTCGAAAACACATTTGAGCAGCAGGACCGTGCCGTTGCCGGATCGTCATTTTCCCAGCATGGAACCAACGCCTCCCACGTGACGAACTCATTTGAGCCTGGGAGATGGCGCAGCAGTGAAAGTCAGGACAGAAGTGTCAAAGAGAAAGCCCGGACTAGTCCACCGCAGAGAAAAGAGGTAAGAACGGTGCTGTTTGAAGTTCGAGGAATGCAGGTGCTGTGGATGCTGTTGTGAAAGCGCTATTAAGGTTCAGAATGGACAATGCAGAGATTAATACAACAGCTGCTACAGCCAAATGTGCCACGTGTGCAGGCACACTACTGCACGGGGAAATCCTCAGTGTAATCTCGTATCAACTTTTTTGGTGCAATAAAATTCAGTTATGACACTGCGAGATAACAGCAATTATATTTTATTCACTATATTTTTTGTTTTAATGTGTGATTTAGTTAAATGTACTATATTCAACAGGAAACTGCTAAATTACAAACGTTCAAAAAGACAACACAACCACCCAACCCCAATGAATACCACACACAAGAGGGCCTGCAGATACATCTGGTCAAGGGGAATCTGGAAGAGGAAGAAGTAAGTTTTACGGAATAAAGCCCACAGCTGTTGTTTGCACAAAGTGTCTATGCAGCCACCCTATACTCCTGCAACCAGATTCGTCATGGAGGTTCTTTTTGTTCTTTCGTATGGCAGAATGGAAAAGCAACCCTTTTTAAATTTTGTAAAGTTGAATGACAACATTTGTTTACCAACCCAAGGAGGCAGTAGACTGTATCGATTGCAGCAACACCGCCAGGATGTACATGCACGGTGGCATTCGTCGGTGATGTCTTTGATGGTTTGGACTTTACCACACTCACAGTGCGGCAATTCTTGGATCTTCCAATTGTCGAAGTTGGACGAGCATTTCCCATGTAGCTATCGACTGTGGTTTAGAGTGAAACATAATTGTCGTGGGACCCAGCACTTCCACAGTCGGGTCCTTAATGAGGTTCTTATTTGCCAAGTCCATAGCCACCCGTGAATCATCCAGTACAGGCCTGATGTTTTTATTTTTGGCTGCTAGAGCAGAGGCACGCATCCGGAAAAGTTTCCCTGGAATTTCGGCCTATGGGGTGGGGATTCTTTTAGGTCTCGTTGGACCGGCAGAGCGATGTCTGTAGGTTTAACGATTGCGATGACACTGTTCGGTACAGGTGGACGTCATTGTGAACACGGTTGCCAATGACCTGGACTTGACCAGAGGAGCAGTTTCTGCAGCTCTTCTTAGGAAAGCTGGCCCACGGCTGCAGGAGCTCACGAATGATGGATCAGGAGGAGGGTCCCTGGGAGTTGGAAACGTCTTGAGAGTGAAAACCAAGGGCTGCAAGTTGGCGTGTAGAGAGATCTACCACACTGTGTGTTGTAGCTGGAAAGAAGGTGGAGGAACTGAGAAGGTATGGTCATATACATTTTGTCTTTGATCATAATCCATCATTTATATATTCATATAAGGTGACGATAATGTTGTAATAGTACCAAATATCGCCATTAAGATTCCAACGGAAATGTTCAACACATTTTGTCATATGATGTGATAATGTACTTTTAATGATTTTTGCATTTGAGTCATCATGGCCAATAATGTGCACGTACGTACGTTGAGCGTCTTTCCCACCTTACGTAGCCAACCGTGCTAATCGTAGGTGCGGGAATTAGAGGTGTGGTGACACATAGGCATGTTTTTACTATCCACTAACTTTCAGCTTTCAAAGGAGACTTACCAGGATTCAGTGTCCACATGTGCCAAGCATTGAACAAGATTTCACCTTCAGCATGCTAAGCAACTCCTGAGAAAGCAGGTCCCACTTCCAAAGCAGCTTGGCTTTCTTTACGTGTCGTTTTTGAATTGTATCATGTTAGGCAGGCTGTAATAAGATTTTAATAACCATAAAATACATGCAATATAAGAACACCTTTTTTAATGTATGGTATTGTACAACATACTATCATTGAAATTTGGATTAGTTTGTAATCATTTTAATTAGAATTTTGAGCTCGGTTTATAAAACTCTATAATAACGCTTTCAGTATTACGGTTTTGCCGAATGAATGTCATCCTTATATACATGAACATATTTAAACTTCAGAGTTCTCCTTCACACTGATAACACGTCCAAACTACACAAGGACACATTTTGTTTTCGCTTGTAAGGACGCTCCATGCATAAAAGTCACACTCGTGTATGTCTGTAAAATATTGCGTGCGTTATAAATTGCATCATTATTTTGTTGTAGGGTACTTGTCTGACACATTATGGTAAAACTCACAAATTTGTTTTACAAAAAATATTTTCCTAAAAAAGTAACATTTACTATCAGTAACCATTGACACACCTGCTTCAATTCCCTCCAAAACTTTGGATTTGTCTCGCAAACTAAGGGATTTATACTTAAGTCCCTTTCTATTACTTCTTGATGTAGGTGTAGACGACATTTATGGGAGGGTTGGCGTGCACACAGTGCACAAACAAGGTAAAGTCCAAAGCAACAGGTCAGCACTCACGCTCACCACACGCACCACCACTAGACTGAGTGATTGTTTTGGTCATGGTGCGTGACCTCGCTCCACGTATATGCCAAAATTGGACCATTCGGTATGGTAATTCGGCTCATGGCGAATTACCAACACTGTACATATGCCGAAAGCGCAGCGATGCTGAATTATCCCCAATTATGAATGATCAAATACCGAAATAACGAGGTTTTATTGTGTCTATGGATATAAAACTAAAGTAATAATTTACAGGCCTCTGTCAATTTGCGACTTGTTGAAGGTCCCTTTTCACTGTTTCGGTCATGGTGTATGTTTTACCTTGATCAATCACTCTTGTTAGAGTGGGTTATGTAAGAATTTACTTTGATGTGTTATCCACTTAAGTGCAACTGGAGATACTTCCTTAGAACAACACACTGTAATTTGGCCCGTCTGGTTGGTTGGTTTGAACATGAGGGGGGAATATGAACATGCCTTTCCTGGGACGCACGTTTCAAAAGAACGGTAACCATTTCTAAGCTACAATCGTCTGTTGAATCGCGTTAATGGTACATATTGGCCGGTGGGGTTAAACTTTTACATGTGATCTGTTTCCCTCACAAGGTTTTGAGCGAAATCGTGTCAACTTGCCTGAAGATGGCTCAATCATCAAACCACCAAAGCATCTCCTTTCCGGCCATCGGCACTGGCAACTTGAACTTTCCCAAGCCCATCACGGCCAAGTTAATGCTCGATGAATTTGTGGAGTTCAGCAAACAGAACCCTACCACTCGGCTTCAGAATGTTCGGCTAATGGTGTATGGGAAGGATGATGCAACATTCGCAGTGAGTTCTTACATTGAAAAACTTCGTTGAGAGTTGAATGATTTTCATATGAGGTGAAGAACCTTTTCTTGAGCCCTGCTGAAGCCTTAATGCAGTCTGGAAAATTGCCTCTTCGAGGATGTGTTTGTATGTATGTATGTTGAACTTCTTTCAAATCGTACGTAGCCAACTGCTAATCGGAGGTGTGGTGGAAGGACAACAAACTAAACAGAAAAAGCAGTTCTAAAAAAAAATCTATCTACGTTTTAAAGTATTTAAAAACACAGTGTGATGGCAGTCCCACCACACTATAGCTCATGCAGCCGATGTTAAAGATCTAGTGATTTTCCTAGTGAGTGCACTGCTTTACTATACCATTATCTTATTAGATTTTGTCGACACGAGTCTACTTTTATTAATGCAAATATAAATGTGGCTGTTGCCAGGCTTTCCACAACGAACTTCAGAAGCTAAGAACAGCAGAAAATGAGAGAAGAGGAGCAACAGGAGAGGACGATGCTAGAGGAGGAGGAGGAGGAAGCGAAGAAGAAGTGAAAGGCAGTGGCAGAGGAGAAGATGAAGAAGAATTTGAAATCATCGACGGGAGGAGAGGAGGTGCTCGGGGAGGGAGCGATGCTTCGCCTTCGTTCACAAAAGAACCCCAAGGAAATGATGGTAAAACAGGAGAATGAGGGGAGTGAATGTTTTGCATAGAGAGTGGGAACGTTGACCACACCAGGTTCTATTAAAATGTCAATTATTTGTATAAGGAAGCCTCACTAAGGCTCAAGATTGTTTTTCAGGACCGGCTGAACTAGGATGTTTGGCCAATTCCATTGACGCATGTGTGGCTTGTGGGAGGAAACCAGCGAACCTGGAGAAGTGCCACATATACGTGCGATAAGACTCAGATGTAATGCATAGATCAAATTCGGCAAGTAGATCAAATCTAACTGTGCATCGCTCCCATTACTGGACTGCCATCTGGAATCTTATCGCCCTCTCAACCATAAGTACAGTATACATCACCTGATGTGACTGGTGGTCACCAATCCAAGCACTAATCAGACTTGATCCCCAGCATATTAGATCTGACAAGATTGAGAGCGTTCATGGTGATTTTGTGGTATGTCCGAGGGGCCAAATATGCTCTCTATATGTGGGTTTGAATGCTCAGCGGAAGCAAGTATATCCTGAGAGTTGGTAACCATTAATTATCTGTCAATGAGTGTGTTCCTCTCCTATAAGTCTGACCTGTGAGTCTGCCTCGCGATGATATCCGTCATGTAATTGAGATAAGGTGGCAATCACTGTCACCTCATCTGTACTGACAGCCAGCCCATCCACATCAACATCTTTGCCACCACTATCATCATTAGTGCCGCAAACTACTCTTACAGTGATTGAAGGATGAATAAAGTTGTAATTTTGTTTTGTTTGGTTGGACTGATTACAGGTTTTTACTCTGAGTTGAAGGAGGAGGGTCTGGGGACGCTGCAGATGAAGTTTGGAAAGGTGGTGGTGGTGGTGAAGCAGGGAAACATCGTGCAGGAACGCACGGATGCCATCGTGAACTCTACTGACAACAATTTCAGCCATGGCTCAGGTGAGAGATGGCATGTTTGGTGTAAGTCATGCCATTGTGGGCAGTATAAACGGCAATACAAGAGCTTAAACAGTTAGTCTGCTTGCCATTGAGTTATTGTGAGGTCTATACAGAGGGAGGTGCACACATTGTTATGTTTGGTGCGATGTATGAGTGGACAGTGGTTCTGCTGCTTACCTGGTGATGATTGTGTTCAACAAACCAGGCCTCCAACAGTTTAAACCATATTCATAATAGAGGTTTTTGGGTTAGATCGGGTAAATGTGTTGTTAAACCCGCCACCGCCCGACGCAGCTAATTAGTAAGATTTGTTACGTAAACAAAACATGCCAATTCTAATTGGCTGTGTCGGGTGGTGGTGGATTTAACGACACATCTATATTCACACGATTTTACCCAAAAACCTCGATTATGGTTATTGGTCGCGTAAGCCTACGTGTTAAACAGTTTACACCATATACATATACCAAAATGTTATGCAATAAATAGTAAAATAATAATAAACATTCATATAAGTGGTGTTTAGTGTCCACATTCATTTCATTTTGCTGGATGGTTCTAACTCAATTGGAAGGTGGAAAATTATATTCCAAAATGAAACCTATCATCTACATGTGCTTCGTTTGTTGTCATTCCCCCGCACCTCCGATTAGAACGGTTGGCTATGTAATAAGTTCAACATACATACAGTGCAGTACATACTATGTGGTCAACAAAATAAGTATCGCTCTGGGTTTGTGGGAAGTCAACAGCAATCGTCTTATGCAGTGACTGGCATTGCGCAAGGAGACTTGACCTTCCTTCATACCAGTACTCGTGTGGTCAAACCTCGTTACCTGCCCTTTAGGCGTCTCTGCTGTGATCATGAAAGCTGCTGGCCCACGTATCCAATCTCTCTGCAATAAAGCAGGTATGTTATGTAATACTTATCTCACATTCAGCAAAAGCGCCACTATCAGATGTGTTTAGGCTCATTTATGCATTATTTAATTTGCAACATAGCATAGAACTGGAGTGCCTATATAAACATCCATACACGTTTAACTGTAACACCTAAACATTGTTGATTTGAAGCTTTCGTTACTGCAGGAATCCATACTCTCCGTTTCCTTCGGTAAAGTCACGTAGATTAAAATAATAATAAAAGAAAACATTACGTTTTGGTCACGTCCGACCGAAATGTCGTGTTTTTTTTCTATCTACGTGACTTTACCGAAAGAACCACAGACAGGTAAATATTGTACTTGCACCCCTGTCTTCTGCAGGCACTGCATAGTTCTGCATGTGAGTGTCAGACATTTTGCATCATTCTTTGTGTGAGCAATCCAACCCCAGCTCCATGTTGTTAGATTACACACCTCCACAACAGCAACAGCTGAAACTCGCCACTAAGTGGCGGCGATGTCACCACGGCACTTGTGCCAGGCCAGGTGCACTCCGAGGCCATGGGAAGTGCCAAAAGGCTCACTGGCAGGTCAGGGGATGGACCCAGGTGCCATGAATTGACTGACATGACTGGCAGATGCACCACCTGTGCCACACCCAATATATGCATTTTAATTGTAATCTGCTAAACTAATTCATACTTTTATTCCTTTTGGTGTGCTTTATTTCTTGTGATAATTTGCCAATTGTTGAGCCACTCGTGTATTCGTCTTTTGTTTCCAGTTATCAATGAGGGTTTTGCAGTGACTGACTCTGGGGATCTTCCTTGCAAGAGGATTGTTCACGTTGTATTCAACAATTCCATGGAAGAACTCGGCCAGGTCTTGTTCAATGCCCTGGGTCATTGCGACGATCTGGGCATGATTTCCATCTCTGTACCGGCTCTAGGAACAGGTGAGTAGGTCAGAGCATTTGAGAATGTGATCAGTGTGCAGTGTATGGCGTGGATGTTCCCTGTGCTCTGTGAGACTGTTACGTGCTATCTGATGTTAAAATTGCCTCTGCTCTGAGCTCTTCAGTTAAAATGTTGTTATTGTTCAATTACAAATGCAGGCACATGTGTGGGAAATAGTGCAATAGGCCAGCGACGAGTGGGGGGAGAGTTTGTGGGAGGCTTGAGAAGGGTGCGGGAGTGGGGGGGATTACAGCTTTGGTGACCGGTTGCGGTGGGGGGCCTTTGTGGTACTTGCGGTATATGTGCGGTACTTTGCAGTAGTTATGAGGACACCAAAAATCGCCGTGGGCTCGGGTGGGTCGGTGGGAATGCGTTGTAGCTGAGAGAGAATTCACAATGCCTTGCTTATACTTAGCGAGAACGAGGAAATCAAGTGGCACTGCCAAAATTCGTGACTAGAATTTTCCCAACTGCTTGAGTGTATTCGTGTCTGTGTCTCCGGGTCTGTGTTTAGCTTGTTATCCTCCCACACCTCCGATAAGTGTGGTTGGCTATGTATGGTGCGAAATAAATTGTACATGTATACATATATACATATGTATCTGTGTGGGGAGCTTTGGCGCAGCGGTTAGCATGCAGCGCTATGAACCCGGCGACCCGATTGACGATCTGAACCGGTCTTGGGTCTCCCATAGGTTAACTTGGCCTCAAATGAATACCTGGTGCGATGTGTAAACATTTCCAAGGGGGAAACAATTGCGGCCGGGCGTGGTGTTGGCCACCCACCTCCTCGCGTGTCGTGCCGGACTTCCTAGGTGCTTCTCGCTAACAGCACTTCTCCCAAATGCATATTAAGGCTACACAGAGGATTGTTTGTGTTTGTGAGAGCGAGCGTGTGTGGGGACACGAGTTTTGGCGCAGAATCTCGGGTAACTTTACACTGCCCCTTTGCGTAATTTTCTGTAGCCGTTCGCTACTCGAGCCAGGTTGAGAATCACTCCAACGCGTAATTACTTTATTTTCTGAAAAACATTGTAAATAATTGAAGGCCGCTCAGTGGTGCCCCTCACACCGCCTGTCTCTAAGGTGGTGGGCGCCTTTCGCCCCGAGACTCTGCCTCGGCCATCTTGGATGCGGTGGCCGAGTTTTCAGTTCAGAAGGGACCCAAGAAACTGCGATGTGTCAGAGTCATCATTTTCGAGGTGGACATGCTTCAGGATTTCTACCGTGAGCTGCAGGACCGACTGAAGAAACCCGGTCCTCAGCAAAGAGGATTGTTATCAAGGTGGACAAGTAAGTGGCAGTTCAAATACACTGTGTGAAAACAACTTCAGATTAAGGCCTTTATTCATTAGCTCTGTCCGTCTGTAACGTGGGATGGGGGGCATGATTACTCCTATTCAGATGATCCAATATGAATTAAACTTTACTATAAAGTTGTGTTGTTATTAAGGACTTGGAAAAATTTACCATATTCATAAAATTGTTGCCTAAAACTTGGAGACAAATGCAGTGCTTCAAGCACTCGCCCTGGTGCCTTTTTTTGGCAGAACCACAATCTGAGACGTGTTGTCTTGCAGCCTGTGGATGATAACGCTCATAAAGGTGATCCAACATGTACCACAGTTTAGTATACAGTTGTGTTGCTATTTAGAACTTACCCTGTTGAAAACAGGATAAATTAATAGTCGCCCAAAGCATAGAGAACCAACACGGTGAGAGGACCCCACTTTATCTTCTCATCGCTGCCAGCCGAGGCGTGCCCCCGTTGTCTCACCGATATCCACGGACGAACTGCTTCCTGTGCATCTGGCACATGGGTTAACTCTTAACATTGATAGCTAGTTTAATGCTTCCGAGGACAAACGCATGTTGGAAAGCGTTACAGAATCTACGCTTATGAATTTTTCTTCCCTGTTACAAACCACTTTAAAAAAAATATTTTTTATTCCACAGGAACATTAAAATCATATTTTAGTGTTGGAAGTGAACTGCAGGAGCAAGATAACCACACTGCTCAGACGAACATGGGGATTAAGCAAGTCCACATCCAGGTTTACTCAGCTTCAGACAAGATCAACAGCAAGGTCCTTGATGAGATCGATGATAAGCTGACGACCGAAGGATGCAACAAGCAAATCAGCGATGAAATAATTGCAGAGTTTGGAGAGGAGGAGCACGAGGCCATATCTTTACTAAAAGATCAAAACCAAGTGCTGATACATTTTACTGCACAAGACACAATCAGCGTCGAAGGCAACATCACTGACGTGAGCCAAGTCATAATCAAGCTCCACCAAATGGTGAATGACACGAGGAAGAGGAGGGATCGTGCTCAGCAGGAGGAGATGCTGGCAAAGAACGTGCAGTGGATGTTCCTCCGAGACGAGCAGTACATTGCCTTCAACCCAAAGCACAATGCTCTGATTGAGGAGGCGTCAAAGAAGAACCAGGGTGTGATTTCCATAGCAGAGGACAAGCATGAAGGTCATGTCAGTGTCGCTGAAAAAGTGTACAAAACCAAGGATGGAAAAACTCTCCAAATTAAGAGAAAGAAGGCCGAAGGTAAGTGACCTCTAGCTCGTGCCATGCGTGTGGGAGAGTTCAGGCAGAGCTGGTGCACAGGGCAAGTTTCCATTCGGTCTCCTGTACTCTGCATTTTCACATACAGGAGTTCTTTTGCAAAAGAGGAAATGCACCAGAGTGATTTACAGGTAGCTATAAATAAAACGTCTATGGTAATGATACGACTATTTAACGGTATAGGATGCTTTTAAACAGAACACTGTGGGTGTAGTTCCTTTGGAAAGCATAATTTGATCAACTTTAAAATGCCCAAGAACGTATGCAGTTGAATTATCCCTTCCCACACACTGTGCCCCCACCTATAGTGGTGCCATGTGTAAATAAAAGCACTGGAGGCAAAAGAGAGTCCAGAGAAATAGGTTACCCTGACAAAACCATCCATGCAGCAGGCCACACGGCCGAGTTGGTGCTGGCTCGGGCAGCATGGGAATCTGGGCCAGGCCCACTTGCCTGGTTTGCGACTCGTTAATGTGGTTATGGGAATGTGGTATGAATCTCCAAACGTTAAGAGGCATATTTGGAATGCTTGGTTAATTACCATTTAAATGGGTATTTTGCATGCGTGGGAAAACCCAGAGAACCTCCATGAATTATATTAGTAACACACACTTGCTGTACTGCTGTTCACAGGCCCCATGGGTTGGGTGTGTCACAGAAATGATGATCTGTTCGATCCACTAATGTCATCTTTTCCGCTCTGAATCACATGCTTGTGCAAATTTATCTCCCTGTGCCTTCAGACGTTATTCCCATTGAGTGGGTGGACGCGAGTGACTTGGGACAGGACCGCGTTATATCTGTGCCACTGGATTCCACGTCACATAAGTATCGGAGCATTGCAAATGACTTCACACAATCTCTGGGAAACCTCTCCAAGCAGCCCGGCTTTCAGATTGAAGAGGTCAGCTTTTGGTTTGTGTTAAGGAGCCAGGAAATCTATTAGAGCCAATATAACAGTAATAAGTATGTCGTATTATAAAGAGGTGGTGTCTGTGTTACAATCTGCATGTTTTTGGATTTGCATTGTTTTTACAACAGAAAGCTGCATTTGCACCCACTTTAAAATGTGTTAAGAAATCCAGTGCACTTGCACGCCCATGTACATGAATTTGGAAAGTCCAATATGGGCTTAGAACAGCACACTAGTTATAGATACTATGGCCATCATTTTTGTATTGTTTTGTTTTGTTGTTGTAGATAACTCAAATTCAGAACCATTCGCTATGGCAACTGTACATGACAAAGAAGAAAGAGATGGATAAGGCAAACAAACCCAACACCCAGCTAAATGAAAGAATTCTCTTCCATGGAACTGCACTTGCCACGTGTAATAAAATCAACACAAATGGATTCAACAGAAGCTACTGTGGAAAAAATGGTGAGTGTTTAGTTCTCTCACCACTACATCCAGTGATATTTTCACGATTATCTTTGATATCACCACCCCTAGGTGGACAATTGCACAAGAATGTGAAATGGGGGATAGAAGGGGATGAATTTCGATTTAAAGCTTTCGTGTCTGCAGGAATTCATCTTCTTGGTTCTTTCGGTAAAGTCACGTAGAAGGGAAGTAATAAAATAATAAAAATAAAACATAATAAAATAATTCTCACGACGTTTCGGCTACAACGCAAGCAGCCGTCCTCATGTGAAGAACATGTCTGTCGATAAGACAGAGTCTAAATGACACGTCTAAGGCTTGGAGTGTCTATTTAAGCTGTGAGGGAGGAGGAAGAGAGCCTTGACAAAAGAATTTGCATTTGAAGAGGAATTTAGCATATTTATGGGAAATGCAGGAATGCGAATAGTGCTAATTGTGAAATGCGTGGGAGGTGGGCGGGGGGTTTTCAAAGTCATATTATGCCCATGCATTATGCAGGAGTAGCAGCATCAAAGGGAGGGGGCAGGGGCAGCACCAACAAAGGGAAGGAATGTGAATAGTATGCAGTTGCTGCAGCTGCATACTATTCATATTATGGGCATAATATGACTTTGAAAACCCCCCGCCCACCTCCCACGCATTTCACAATTAGCACTATTCGCATTCCTGCATTTCCCATAAATATGCAAAATTCCTCTTCAAATGCAAATTCTTTTGTCAAGGCTCTCTTCCTCCTCCCTCACAGCTTAAATAGACACTCCAAGCCTTAGACGTGTCATTTAGACTCTGTCTTATCGACAGACATGTTCTTCACATGAGGACGGCTGCTTGCGTTGTAGCCGAAACGTCGTGAGAATTATTTTATTATGTTTTATTTTTATTATTTTATTACTTCCCTTCTACGTGACTTTACCGAAAGAACCAAGAAGGGGATGAATGTTTATTGAGTCTCAAGACATTTGACCAGGAGGCTTCTGCATTGTGACATCTGGACATCGAGTATATGCACCTGGAGATATGCAACTTATAAGATGGGGATACCAGTGAAATTCATATAGGGTATAGATGTACTGTCACCTACGGCCCACCTCGTAACAATGCAGTCTTAACACGTTCGATAAAGTTTATGCCTGACACAACATTTCATGGCAGTGTGCCACGCACTGTGTTGCCCATGTGAATGTCGACCAAACTCTTTGCTGGGCTAAATGAGAGACCAAATAGGTGAAACAGTTTTGCGGCATTGTTTTATACTGTATTGGAATAATTCTATGACAAACGTTATCTCTGAATCCCATTTTCTATGTCTCATTTTAGCCACGTGCTATGGGAATGGAGTGTACTTTGCCGTCAGTGCTAACTACTCGGCACAGCCGACATATTCACCAGCCGAGAACGATGGCAGCAAATATATGTACCGGGCACGTGTGCTGACAGGTGACTTCACGACGGGGAAACAGGGAATGATCGAACCTCCACCCAAGGGCCAGCAGAACTCTGTGCTGTACGACAGCGTGACGAACAATATGAACAACCCAGCTATGTTCGTCATCTTTAATGATAACCAGGCCTACCCCGAACATCTCATAAAATTCAAATTGTAATGAAGGAGATTGGCTACCGTGTGTTGGTCACCTGAATATGCATGACTTAATTTACCTTTGCTTGACTAAAACACGAGGATGTGGTCTCAGTTGTAGTCAAGCTGAGCACGCACACAAACATATAACTGATGCATTTCTTTTTGGATATAAGGATATTTAGATTAAGTACATTACTGTTGTGCAAGCTGTGATTACTCTTAACTATGCAGTGGTTGTACAGTCCACAAGCCAATGGTGAAACAGATTTAACCTGTACAGCATCTTACAGCTTGAGAGCAAACATGTCACGTGATCATCGTAAGAATTGACAGTAATAAGTAATGTAGTGTGATTCATAAAAGTGCAGTAGTAGACTGCTGGTTTGTAGACAACGGCTGCCATAAGTGAATGTGCTGAAAAGTTTCAATTTTGCCAAAAATACCGGTAATGTTAAGACTGTTATCATGAGTGAATTTATCCTAGGGTTTTCTTTGTAGTCATAACTTGTGTCGAATTCCTTTTAAAATCAGGTGCAGATACATTGCCTTTGCAGATTCGATGCACTTGTATGTTTTCTTCAATTAGCTTCGGACACCATACAAATAATTACAGCACTCTACTCGCATTATCGAATTTGAGTACTTGCTGTAAAAACACAACATGTTTGCATATTTCATGTGGTTTTTACCCTACAGCAGTTTATTAAGGCTCGGACTTAGTTCCCACAGTTCAAAGTATATATGCTTCAGTGATTTATAATTTAGGATTCTTGTTTCAGGGGTTGTTAAGGCTATTATTTCTTTAACAGATAAATACGCGCATGGTATGCAATATCGCAATGTGACATTTATAGGTTAGAAAACTAAACACACATTTTAATTCGATCTTATGTTTATGAATACATGCACAACATACTCTTTGAATAAAGTACACAAATTAATTTGTACGTGTTGTGTAAAAACTGTTATTGCAAACACAAACAAGCATGATGCTGAATCAGCAATTGGATTATTACTTTTTATGCATTTAGGTTTTATTTTGGCACAGGTAAACCCCACTGGGCAATAAATGTTCATTTTAGATGGAGACATAAAACACCTACCGTAGTTACGGCACAAAAAAACGAACAATCCAAAAACAACTGTACATAGTCAAGTACAGAATGTCGTGATTCGATGTGGCATAACTAGCACAGAACGTCCACGGCTACTGGAACACATCACATGTACAACTTATTCTGCAAAGCAGTGATCAATTGGCACCTACACACGTGCCAATCGCACCTCCAGTTAGCATGGTTGGCTACATGCGGTGCGAATGAAGTTCAACTTCCATAGAAATTGAGATCCAAAAGTAATGTAAAGTAGGACAAGGATATGGTGAGGTTTTGACCCCAAACATTTTTGCTCGGTTATGCCAGAGATTAGGTGCTGCCACATGGAAGGAATTTAAACCAAGAGCCAAAGAAAGTGGTGCAAGGATGAATGAGGTTGGGGAGAGGTGGAATGAGATTGGAGAGAAAGCAGCAGATCAGAGAAGGGTGAGGAGAGAGCCATTCTGGGTAGGAAAGAATGGAGGTGCAGAGACTCAATAGTGAAGGTGGAGGGGCGGGCAGCCGCAACCCGCAGAGCGGGCCAGGTCAGGTATCTGGGTATACCCCTGCAGCGAAGGTGTGGTAACAACAGGCAGGCAGTGATGCACAAGTGGGCAGCAGCGCACAGGCAGGCCACACGGGCAGGCCACATGGGCATGCCTGCGTAGGCAGGCGAGTGGCGTTCAGAGGCAGCACAGAGGACCGCAACCTCTCTGGGTCGATCCCATGGGTGCAGCCGACGTCTCGCTCCGTGGGGGGCAGCCAAAGTCGTGGAAGAGGCCAAGCCCTGCGTCAAGCCTTGGACTGCCGACCGAAGCGAACGTCCCATAAGATGGTTCTGAAGATGTGTGCGAGATTGTTGGTGTGGGTGGTGGTCATCCACCCCCTTGTGTGCCGTGCCAACCTTCATTACGTCCTCACCAACCACACTTGCCCCAAAAGTATGTGGAGGCTATACAGATATGTCTTTTGGTATAAGACTTGTGGTGTATCTGCAGTTATTAAAGTACACCTACACGACACCCTACAATACAGCACTGACACTAATCTACAATGATCGCCATTCGCCACTAAGTGACGGTAACGGCACCATGGCGCTTCTGCCAGGCTATGTGCACTTTTAAGTTAGGTGAAGTGTTGAAGGCTCGTTGGCAGGTCAGGGGACAAATCCAGGTACCATATCTCAGTCAATATATGTCAGATGCATTTCCTGTGTCCCTTCCTGTGGAAACTTTCAGCTGCACGGCATTCTGCTCGTTGTGAGCGTTGCTCCTCTGCCATCCACTCTTGTTGAAGGGCAACTGCCTCCAACTGCCCAGTACAATTCTTCACGAGCCTCCTCCACAGAGGCCGATCTTGACAGCTGGTACCAATCATCGGCAAGTCCACTCAGCTCCAGATCCTCTTGTATCACATCACTCCATCTCTACTGTAGCCTGTGCCGCAACCCATTTAGCCCCCTCTATCTGTCCAAACAAAAGCTGCTTGGGCATGCGGTGGCTGGGCATGCAGGATACATTACTTAGCCAACGCAAATCCCTATTTGGTCAACCATGCTGTGTATGCTGATGATCTTGTGATTGCTGCTCAAGAGTTTGAGGTGCACCTGTCGAACCTGGAGCGTGTTACTAAGATGCGGGGCCTTACCATCAGCCCCACCAAAACAAATCGCCTGCATGGGTATTTTGTCAAACACTCCAACCTGCTCATGGGATCTTTCTTGACAGTATCAAAAACAGAGTTTTTGCGTGCATGTTCACCACAAGTATATGTTTGATGCAGATATGATTCCTTGCAAAAGGTATGTTTGGTGTTTTAACACCTTAACACTTGTTTCATCAGAAATGGTAAAAGCCATTCTTACTCCACCCCCTCAACTCCCCATTGGTGATGGGGGAGTTGTGGAGAGAGTGGCGTTTCCATACCTGGCAGTGTGCCTGTGACCAGTTCTAGTTTGACAGCAGAGGTCCCACTCCGAATCAGGTCGAGCGGCATTCTTTTTTTTATCAGCGATGTAACGCTGAGTGGAAGCTACCCGCTGTCGTTCCACACGACGCTTCGGGTCTTCTCAACCACAATCATGTCTTCTCTATGCTTGTGAAACATGGACCCCTTACTGGAACATTCGTCTACAATACAGTACACATACACTGTATACTGCAGTCTACATTACAGTAGCGACGAGGTATCCGATGCCATTCATCTTTAAAAGCAAGAAAAATGGCACCAGCTGCAGCTCGTTTCATATACTCAGCATTTTATCCTTTATTAAATGGACTTTGAAACAAAAACTTGAACATGTATTTGCCGTAATTTAGTTCAATTTACAGATGCATACATTTATAATCACAGAACCAGGCACACAGTCACACAGAACAGATTGACCAAGCATACACTTGCACGCAGAGAAGTTAGTGGTAATGAGAACAAGTGTGTGATGGTAGCCCACCAAATTTGTAGTTGTGGATACAACAGCGAGTAAAAAAGAAACGCACAGATTTAGATACATCGGATATACCACTGCAAAAAAATGAGAATATTGGAATCCAGCAGAAGCATAAGCAAGCCCATTGAAATAAAATTGAATCCATTGTTAAGATGAGTATATTATGACCTTCAGTGGTTTTGCTTTTAACGCGAGCTAAAACAAACCCACATCCACTAGCTTGGTGCAGCAACTGACTGCACTTCACATTAAAAGAGACAGCATGGAGGCCAATCGCATTGAAATGGCTCTCCCATTATCTCAAACATGACTAGTCAATAAGCATGTTCAGGGCTATTTTACAATTAAATGGTTGCTTGCAGTCATCGTACGAGGGCACATGTCAATGTTCTCAAAGCTGCGAGACACCCATAGCCACAAACGTGTCCTAAGCAACCTTCTTGAACTCTGGGGATGCATGTTGCATGAAACATCTCGTGAAGGCAGACCCAGGGGTCTGCGAGACATGATGTGCCGCAACTGTCAGCGAGACCCCTTTTTAATAGCACCGCCGGCTCTGGGTCGTGCAGCGAATGCGCGTGGCTCAGTCGTGGCCTCGCCTCACCCCGGATGGTGCTGGGCACCGTCACAGGCTTTCGTCGCTCTCCGCCGCATGCAGTTGAGTGTCTTCCGCGTCCGTCATGTTGCTCTCGTGAGAGTCAAACCCCTCCGCTGCGCACAAAGATGGGAGGGGCGGGGAGGGGGGGTTTATTTTATAAGTCGACTTTTACATTTACACAGCAACAGTGCATTTTGTGGAGGTCACTGGATGCCTTTTCCAGTTCACGAAAATGTAGATTGCTTGCGTTATCATAAGCGATTGAAAAGCGGCGATAAATCTTGCCAGTGCTTGGTGTTGCTGCAGCTGCATTACCATTCTCGTTGAAGTCCATGGGATCCTGCATGGCCGAATCTTGACCCTGTTCATCATCGTCCGGAAGGTACCGCTTGTCGATTGCTTCCTTGATCTGGTTGTTTGCTCCCTTGGGGTCCAGGTCCATGGCCCATGAGAAGTTCATGAGGGCTAAGTGGCCCTGACCCAGCTTCTTGTAAACCTATGTACATAATTGCCATCAGCTTATGCCCAGGCACAGTGTGCGTGTATTGTATTGACACAGAATCGGTCACGTAGCAGCATAGCGCTGGCTGCTGGCAGGGAAGGAGATCTGCAGCGTGCAGCAGCCCTGTGACAGCAGGCCACGTGATAGACCAGAGAGGGATCTAGGGGGGAAAGGTTACGGAATGGACACGTCGAGAACCAGCTCGTAGGTTCCAGGGCAGAGCCAGGCCACGCCGACAGAAAAAGAGGGGCCCCCCCGGGAGGGGAGCTCGTGGCTGTCGTTTGGAGTGGGGAGATCTCCGTCGTGCTGCTGGAGTCTTCACCATCTCGGCGTCGCCAGTCAGGCAGTCTAACAGCTGTCCTGACTGGGAACCGTAGTTACTAAGTGTTACTGTCAGGCCGTGTTAATAAACAGAGTGCCTCCTCCTCTTAGTGTCTCCGAGTCAATAACTACATATGTATGTAGACCTTCTTTCCCACCGTACATAGCCAACCATGCTGTTCGGAGGTGTGGGGGAATGACAACAAACTAAACACAAAAAGCAGTTTTAAAGAAATGAGTTTTCAATCTATACTTAAAATAGCTCCAGTGGCTTCCTATTATCGGAAGAGCATTCCTAAGATCAGAAGAAAGAGCATTTGGCGCATATCGGGATTTAACATCATATATCATGATCAAAATAAGTTCCAACACTGAAAATAAAATTTTCAAACCCAAGACGGTCCCTTGTTGACATGTACCTTCATCATTCACAAACTTGCATTACCTTGCCTATGAGGAAGTACACCAGTGACTCCTTGGGTACAATCTGCTTCAGCTCCTCAAGTTCTTGCAAGGCTGCCTGTTCAAACAAAAACCAGAGTGGGGAACAACATTACATCCCACTCGCACCGCTGCCGATGGAGCGGCGTGCATCGAGCAGGCTTGCATGCACCTCAGCTTGCACAGAAATCCGTGCTCTCACCTTGTACTTCTCATTTGCAAAGAGGATGGAGGCACGGTGGAACTTGCACAGTGGGTTTTTGGGCTCGACGTTGATGGCTCTGGTGAGGGTCTCGAGTGCTGCATCAGATTTTTTCAGTGCATGCTGCACCTGTGGGATGGGAAATGGGTCACATTTTCACATTAGGGGATAGTTCAAAGAAAGCTCATTCCAGACGTTCAAGTGTTGCAGCACTTACAATATTATGGCACCAACAATTGTTAGCAATGTTGTATTATCACTTACCACAGCAATGTGACAAAGCAGCACTGAACTCTGCGGGTTTATACTGAACGCCTTCCTGAAGTGAACCTCTGCC